CATGAATTTAAAGTCAGACCCCCCTCAAAAATGACATCACAAAGCTCTGCCCCTCCCCCCACCAAAATAAAACATGCTTCAAATCGCTTTAAACTATTGTCATTGTAGTGCGTATTTAATGTGGCGCTGCACTGATGTTGTAGGAGAAAACATTTATTAAAAAGTATATTTAATTAAGTAGAACGTGTTTACTATATTTATTTAAAGTTGCGCATTTTGATGTGACGTCACATTTCTCAAACCCACCAACCCCCGTCGTCACACATCGTCACAAATGTCTGACCCACCCCACCCCCCAGGTGCGTGACGTCATTTACGGACGGTGATTAGTAGGGATTCCTTATAAACAAGGATATTGAGCTGGGCGCCGGATCGGCTGAGCGGCATCGATACAATTGACCTCGATTAACGATCCACAACACCATGCATAGTCCAGTGCGTACTATTATTGAAACCGTTCATTTTTAAATCATCCGATTTACACCACAGGTGTCTCCAACATCTTGATATGCAGTCATATGCTGCAAAAATTGAAAGTAAAAATGGTATGCGATTGACTTGTACCTTGTGTGTCGCGATTCAGCTCCAGGGGTTATACTCATGAATGCAAATCTTTGATGCACAGGCTACCGAAAGAGGTCAATGTCAAGACAGTACAGGACAAACGTGGACAATCCATGGGGTTGATGCCAAACCGGCATTCAGACGTCAGTAAAGCCGCATCCTCGGTGCGAAACGAGTAGCTCTGTCATTTGTTGAACATTTTCCTCCCCAAGCGGGGAGGTGCACCATTCCCGGAGGTACTGCAATACCGGGTTGATGCGCGGAGTGGACGGAGCAAGCCCCTATTCCATCTCCCTGTCCCAAAAATCAATTTAATATAAGGTACCACAATGTGGTACGTATCAGATATTAAACTGATAAGAACAGATACTACACTTGATCTTAGCCAAAAGGCCGAGAAGCGATAACTAAAAGCGGTCGGTGGTGGGGTACACATACCCACAGAAAGTCTCTCTACGCTATGGGGTCAAACCATGATTATCGGAAAACAGCTATCATCACATGTAATACATCCAACTACGCGGAAAAATTACATATCGTAAATAACTTGACTTAAAATTTGGGACCTGGAAATCTGTTTGCATGTAAAATGTAAAAGAATGTTGTTGCTAGAATCCCGCGCAATGGCCTATGGGAATTATGTCATTACGGCCATATCGCCTTGCGCCACTTGGTGGCGTGTTACCCACGTGAGTGTTTGAATAGACTGATGTTTGTAATCGATTCTCATATTCAAGATAATTAATCTAAGCACTTTATATTTTCATGAATGATCCTACTTACACTACACGTGTTTAATAATAAGTACAGTACAGCATATTGTTAGAATCCCGCGCAATTACTTATGGGAAGATGCCAAAAGTAATCTATGGGTCGTATCGTGGTGAATTCAAAACGGATACATTACATGTAACACAATCTTAATTGTGGTTTTAAAACGTTGTATACAGATCTACATTATATTGTATATTTAAATTCGGGCATCTGATTTTCATAGCGAAAATATATCATTACAGCTAAATATTAACACCCTACGCAAACGCTCATTGGCATTAGTCGGTACCGCCTTGCACCACGTGGCGGTGTTGCTGTACCACCCGTGGGCGTGATAAGTTCTGGACAAAGTTATAAATTGATATTTTAATAAATTATCCGATTTACGGTCAAGTAAAACATCCCCAACCTCGTGTGTAAGCGCGTAGCATCACTATTGGGTAAACAGGGGGCGGAAGAGTGGCTACGCCGATGTTCAAGGACTATGGCCAAAGGGGCCATCGGTGATCTCTGGGATAACGGATCCTGGGACACAATCCCCAGAACCCGAGAGGGGGGATTGGGGGATCACGTCACCCTTACAGGACCTGGTGGAAGGTTCTGGAAGGCGGGGCCAGGGCGGAGCAAGCCCCGGACCTGCATATAAATTGGACCTCTGAACGATAGAGTCAGTCACCTCCACTCCGAAGACCTGGGCTGCAGCTAGGACCCTGGACCCCAAGCTCCGTCGTCCTTCTAAGGGCCGGAGCTCAGTGAGGCCAATGGTCAGGACCAGAAGACCCTGGCAGGGTCGGGTCAGCAAAGCCTCCCCTAGGGCCCAGCCGGAGGATGGGAAATTAGCAGGGTCCCAGTGGTAGGTCCGTGCAGCCCGGAGGCCATACCTCCCCAGGTATCGATCGGGTAGGGACCCTGCAGCAAGAGTGCTAATAAATATTGTGTTGCCTCAATTGGTGTCTTCCCTGGTTTTTGAACCACTATATATGTAAACGCGTAGCGATTTGTACATTAAACTCGAGGCGTATACTCACGGACTCTCTCGTATGTCAATCTTTGATTAAAAAAAAAAATCGCACAGTCGAAGGGGCCGTCCATAAATGACGTCTCACGATTTCTGACCCCCCCCCCCCGTCGGCACACGGCGTCACAAAAAGTCAGACCCCCCCCCCCTTAAAATATGACATGCTTCAAATCGCTTTAAACTATTGTCATTGTAGTGCGTATTTAATGTGGCGCTGCACTCTGATGTTATAGGAGAAAACATTTATTAAAAAGTCTATTTAATTAAGAAGGATGTGTTGTCTAGATTTATTGAAAGTTGCGCATTTTGATGCGACGTCACATTTATGAAACCCACCCCCCCTCCTCACACATCGTCACAAATGTCTGACCCCCCCTCCCCCTAGGTGCGTGACGTCATTTATGGACGGCCCTGAATGGCGCCAACGGAACATGACAACCGAAAGAGTTCAATGGAGTCAGACAGCACAAAGGAGGACAATCGCATGAGGTGAGCCAGGAGAGACCAAAACGGCGTGACAGATGGCACACGTGATTCAGACGCAATACAAACAGGATGCCTTGTCTCTCGACACGCAATGCGCTCACGTTCGCGCTAATATGTAACGAGGTTACGTGCTGTACCGGGCGAGGTGACTTGTCAACAGTTGCGAACGGAATCACAACGTTGATGCCTTCTAACATTCGTTAATATTTTCCCTCCCCAAGCGGGGAGGTGCACCATTCCCGGAGGTACTGCAATACCGGGTTGATGCGCGGAGTGGACGGAGCAAGCCCCTATTCCATCTCCCTGTCCCAAAAATCAATTTAATATAAGGTACCACAATGTGGTACGTATCAGATATTAAACTGATAAGAACAGATACTACACTTGATCTTAGCCAAAAGGCCGAGAAGCGATAACTAAAAGCGGTCGGTGGTGGGGTACACATACCCACAGAAAGTCTCTCTACGCTATGGGGTCAAACCATGATTATCGGAAAACAGCTATCATCACATGTAATACATCCAACTACGCGGAAAAATTACATATCGTAAATAACTTGACTTAAAATTTGGGACCTGGAAACCTGTTTGCATGTAAAATGTAAAAGAATATTGTTGTTAGAATCCCGCGCAATGGCCTATGGGAATTATGTCATTACGGCCATATCGCCTTGCGCCACTTGGTGGCGTGTTACCCACGTGAGTGTTTGAATAGACTGATGTTTGTAATCGATTCTCATGTTCAAGATAATTAATCTAAGCACTTTATATTTTCATGAATGATCCTACTTACACAACACGTGTTTTATAATAAGTACAGTACAGCATATTGTTAGAATCCCGCGCAATTACTTATGGGAAGATGCCAAAAGTTATCTATGGGTCGTATCGTGGTGAATTCAAAACGGATACATTACATGTAACACAATCTTAATTGTGGTTTAAAAACGTTGTATACAGATTTACATTATATATTTAAATTCGGACGTATGATTTTTATATCGAAAATATATAATTACAGCTAAATATTAGCACCCTACGCAAACGCTCATTGGCATTAGTCCGTACCGCCTTGCACCACGTGGCGGAGTTGCTGTACCACCCGTGGTCGTGATAAGTCCTGGACTAAGTTATACATAGATATTTTCATAAATTATCCCATTTACGGTCAAGTAAAACATCTTGCTATGCGGTCACATTTAAAAGCTTCGGAAATGCAAATCGTATGTAATTGTGACTTATTTTCCCCAACCTCGTGTGTCGCTGTACCAAGGCCGTAGCCATGGAGTCAACATTGGGGGGGGACCAAATCTTCCAGGGGGTCTGGTCTCCCCCCCCCCCCCAGAAAAAAATCTAAATTTGAAAACGAATTTCCTGCCATTTCCTGCCTAAAATATATAAAAAAAAGTTCGCTACCACATATGATGGACTTTATTTTTACAATAATGTCTAATAGTGTATTGTAGTAGATTGCTCTGTTTTTACCTTTTTACCATTCTTGTTTCATTGTATGTAATGGCAGAGATCAGGGATTAATAAAGTACAACCATAACCACAATCATATAAACAGAAATCTATTTTATAGCAATATATTGGGGGGGGGGGACATTTGACCATATTTGAATATTATAATAACGGCCTTGCGCTATACTCCGAAACGTGATTTGATTAACTGTATTTTTTACCTACGTGACTTTACCGAATGAACCAAAGAGTATGGATCATTGCAGTCACGAAAACTTCAAATCTAGAATTGCGCTATACTATATATATAAACGCGTAGCGATTTGTACATTAAACTCGAGGCGTATACTCACGGACTCTCTCGTATGCCAATCTTTGATACAAAAAAGTCCCACAGGTTAATGGCGTCAATGGAGTCAGACAGCACAAAGGATGACAATCGCATGAGGTGAGACCAAACCGGCGTTACAGATGGCACACGTGATTCAAACGCAATAGAAACAGAACAGGCTGGTGCACTCATCCGAGGTGTGTTCTCTCTGCACACGCGATGCGTTCATGTTCGCGCTAATATTTAATGAGGTTACGTACGAGACACCGGTTAAACATATTCGCTGTACCGTGCGTGGCGACTTGTAACCCAGTTGCGCACTGCCTGCTCACAAAACGTTGACGCCTGCTAACATTTGTTAATATTTTCCCTCCCCAAGCGGGGAGGTGCACCATTCCCGGAGGTACTGCAATACCGGGTTGATGCGCGGAGTGGACGGAGCAAGCCCCTATTCCATCTCCCTGTCCCAAAAATCAATTTAATATAAGGTACCACAATGTGGTACGTATCAGATATTAAACTGATAAGAACAGATACTACACTTGATCTTAGCCAAAAGGCCGAGAAGCGATAACTAAAAGCGGTCGGTGGTGGGGTACACATACCCACAGAAAGTCTCTCTACGCTATGGGGTCAAACCATGATTATCGGATAACAGCTATCATCACATGTAATACAACCATATATAAATATTATAAGCATCATTAATAGATTACTTAAAATATATTCTTTTTTTTCGAGAACCGAGCAAAACAATTATTACAAACCGGCGCAAAGGCTTATGGGAGTCATGGCAGTGTATATCTACGCTATGGGACGCAACCACTCTTATTCGTATCACAATAAATACTCAAGATGTTATGACATTCTAAACAACTTTACATACAATACTTGAATTAAAAAAGCTACTTTTTGTTCTGAAAATATTTCATTATAGCAAATTATTAGCATTCCGCTCATGTCAGCGCGGTCCATTCCCGCCTTGCGCCACGTGGCGGCGTACAATGCGCACACATCACCACAACGTGCGCTTGGTAATAGAATGTACCGCAATGCGATTCAAATCCGCTCCTTTTAGCTTCACGTTATCCCACATTCAAGCCCAGCGCATCTTGAGACGTGGTCACATTGAAGGGCTTCAAGTAACAAAAAATCGCACGTATTGTAGCGACATTTTGTTACGATGTTGCTGCTGACCTGTAAGCCTCTCCACGGAAGGTTCGACTCGCTCTTTCTCTTCGGAGTTTCTCTGTTCTCTCCCCGTGTTCTGCATGGGTTTCTTCCGGGTCCTCCGGTTTCTGTCCATAGCTGAAAACCCCACACAATGTAACTCGTATTGGCCAAACATCCCAATGCTGAGGAATTACCTGCAACTTACTCAATTGGGAATAAGCATAGCTTCATTGCCCTAGACTGTGACAAACCTGGCATGACCCTCCTAAAAAGAAACGTGACGCTCTGGTAGGGTGGTAGTAATAATTAATAAGCTGCGTACCTGTAGTGACATTGGGGATGTCACTGTATGGTGCCGGCCCTAGAGGGCCATGGCATGCGATGTACTTACATCGCGGACAGCGTCGTGTGTGTTACAGAGTGTTGCCGGCTTTGCAGGCTTCGGGCGCAGAGGACCCGTCGACCGGACGAAGCCAACCTCGCTAATCGGATCTCCCTCAAGTCCACAGCTCGCTGGGCAGCATGCCCTCCTTGGAGTTGAGCGAGGGGTACAGATTCTCGTCGGCCAGGAAGCAGAGCGGGAACTGCACGAGGAAGCCGCGAACTTTCCGCAATTCTTCCGCGGCGAGGCCTGGCTCGGCGGACGCCAGGCCTGGGCTTGCCTGCCGCTCGCGCAGCTCTCCGTAGTTGCGCACCTCGTCTGACGGGAGGCAGCGGAACACCTGGCAGCAGTGGGGTCGGAGGTCACGGGAAAGGACGTTGCCTTCTCGACGAAAAAAAACGTTAATTCACAAGTACGCGTGTATTCGCGGCATTCTTGTAGCCAGGCTTAATTCGCCACTCGATATTTTCCGCAATGCTGCTAGGCTGCCTTGGAGTAAGGTTATTCGGTGTGCAATGACACCGATACACATTCTTGCTTGACTAATAGCCTTTATTGTGGACACCAATACTATTCTTTGGGCCCGGACATCGGTTCTTCATGTACGAACTTCGTCTTCTCTCCAAGCGTCCTTTCCCCTTGCGCTATCCCCTTTTATGTCCCTCAAGCCTCCTTTCTGGAAGGTTCGCTCACTCTATTTCCCTCGGCCAATGCCCGTCCTCCTTTTCCAATGGTTATCAACCGTTTCCCCGACAGTCAACCCTCGTTTCCCACCTTTTACGTTTAAATTTCTCCTCCAATCAGTTTAAATCTCTGACCCTAACCAATCCTCTTTGAGGCTTCCCTGCACCAATCAGAGGCATTGACACACTTCCTGACTGTCCGTTTGCACGCGTACCATGTCAGGTAAGTGGTCTGTTTTCAGCCTTTACAGGTGTAAGGCACTACTACCATTACCACGAGAAAACAAGGTACCGCCTATTCATAATAATCATATATTACGAACCTTATATTCCTATGAATGAAACGAGGCAAAATACAGTTGGTAGTACGGTGCAGCTACAGGTGCACAGAGGAAGGTACTAGAGAATGTATAGCAGCGGATAGAGAATGGACATCACCTTGTCGTAGACCATGGCGTTGCGCGCCGCCGTGGTCACCCACACCTCCTTGTAGAAGCGGTCGCACACGGGGTCACTAACGTCAACTGTGGCATCGTCCGACAGGCCCAGGACCATGCTTACGACACGGGACACAAGGGTGAGACACAGAAGGGAAGAGGGCTTCTTTACAGTCGTTGCTCAAGTTTTAAACGGCACATTTTATTCACGTCATAAACGAATCCACGAGACGGCAGACGTATCATGTGCTTGCACAACTGCACATCAGAACTTGTCTGCCCCTCAGAGGGGGCGTACCGACAAATGGAATGTGCCGAGTAATGGAGCTGCAATTACGTTATCCACGAGAGGCGCAGGCACGACACTGAACGTGTCTCCACCCTCACCGGAAGCAGTGCGTGCGCAGGTGCAAGGCAAAGCGCCCGGCTTGGTAGGGCCGCCCGTCCATGGTGGACGGCACCATCTCGCTGTCCTCCACCATCACTGCTATCTCGCTGTCCCTGCGGCCCAGCAGGCTGCGGTCGTTGATGTTGGCAGAGCCTGCAAGCGCGGCGGCGTTGGTGGTGGTGGTGACAGAGGCAAGGGATCAAACCAAGGGTGGGTGTCAAGAGTCAGAGGGATTTTTTTGTGGCGAGATGTTAACTAGCTCGCCGGGGTATGCAGGAGGTCGTGGGTTCGATCCCGACCCTGACACCTATTGTATATTTGGAGTTTGAATGTTGTCCCTGTGGTCGCATGGAATTTCTCTGGGTCCTCCCGTTTTTCCCTCCACATTTAGAATCAACGTGCGTTCATAGTATTTGGCTGCTATAAATTCCGCGCGATAAGCCACTTCATTTAACTATCATTTGTGGCCAGGTTGCTTCTGAATAAGAGCTATACAGCATAGTGGGACTCACCTGGAAAAATTAATATAGTAAAAATAAAGAGTTTGTTTAAATGAGCATTGAAGCAGTGCTCATCTCCCATTAACAGCCCTGAGCCAGTGGTGGAAATTCCACATTCCTATGGTAGGCGCCAGTCTATCCGTAGGACAACCATTGTTGACTTCCCCACAAAGTGGTTTGTATTTTACGACCCCGGAGAAATGAAGGGCTGAGTCAACCTCCAACCAGGGTTTGAACTCGTAACCTTCTGATTGTGATCCCAGCAACATGTGCTTGTATGAGACGCTACCCTGCCAGCGTAATGTAAGTGTGCATTGTTTCACACCTAGTAGGCTTTCGAGACCAATGTTATCCATAAGAAAGGATTCTTGGGTTAGATCGCGTAGGTACTGCATATTCTCACGTTAACATAATCCATTGTAATTTATATGGCCACATTAACCCCTCTCTGGTCTTCGCACCTCATTGGCTCTTAGTGATGACATCACCATTACTCTATTCAAGACTGATAACAGGAAGACTTCTTCACAATTCTGCCAAATCACCTGATGAAGCTGATTGTAATCACCAGCGAAACGTCGTACTCAAAGTGCAAATGTTGTGGGTTACTTTCCACCACACCGGTGTGCTGAAGTGGTAACTAATTGGCACGTTTTGTTTACGCGACAAACCTTACTAATTGGCTGTGTCGGGCGGTGGCAGGGTTAACAACACATTCATATTTACGTGATCTACCCCCCCCCAAAAAAAAAAAAACCTGTATTATGAGAAAAGAATGCGTTGCTTATATCAACGCTCCTTACATACGGTGACGAGGATGCGCTTATATGAGGTGGGGGAGGATTGTGGTGACTGCACCGATAATGACGGTGGTGTCATCGGCGATGAGCAGCTTGCTGTGCACGTAGACAAGCTCCGTGACGAGGCGGCCGTCCAGGTTGGCGTGCGTGCGCAGACCGCAGAACGACACAAAGTGCATCCAGCGGTCACTCACTGCCGCACGCACAGGCACACAGACACGCACGCACAGGCACACACGCACAGGCACACATGCACAGGCACACATGCACACGCACACAGACACGCACGCACAGGCACACACGCACAGGCACACAGACACGCATGCACACGCACACAGACACGCACGCACACAGGCACGCACGCACAGGCACACACACACGCACAGGCACACACGCACGCACACAGACACGCACACAGACACGCACGCACAGGCACACACACGGATGCAGATAAGACAAAAATCCCCCCGTGTAGCCTTTAACAGACTGTAGGGGCAAGTGCTGTTCGCGAGCACCTATGAAGGCCGGTAAGGTACTCGAGGGGGCGGGTGGCCAGCACCACACCCGGCCGCCTTTGTCTCCCTAGTGGCGATGTTTACACACCGCACCAGATACTCATTTCAGGCTGAGTCGACAAAGGGGAGGCCCAGGACCGGTTCAGGTAATTGTCACTGGTGTTGGCCGTCAGCGGGAATCGAACTCAGGTCGTCGGGTTCGAAGCACAGCGCGTTACCTGCTACACCACCGCCACACATGCGCGTGCCAGAGGTCAGCCGTCAGAGTTTCAGCCCCACAGCGTGGTGGGGGGCAGGGTGAGTTGCCCCCCTGCCCCCTTCCCACTGCTAAATTCTTAAAGTCGAGGAAAAAAAGTGTTGGCACAAAAATGTGAACTAAGTGATGGGCGTCGCAGCCTTTATCGTGACACGCAACGGAGGTGAGAGGCAGAGCGGAATACACGGTGGACTGGAACAGATCGTCTCACTACCCGTTCAGTTCAGCGTTTATAGCATCTGTTTAAAGTTTGTTTAACATTAACTGTGTTGTGCCCCCCACCCCCTGCCAGCCCTATTTCTATGTTTTTTTCATGCCTCCCACTTTAAACAAGGTCACGCTACCAGGCTGCACCGTTTGGTAACAACAACATGAACACAATTCAACCGCAGAGACTAACGCCGGAGCGGCAGCTGGAGGAGGGGACACGGTAGCACTCACTCTCTGCCTTGAGCCTTTCGATGATGGAGTACTCTCCACGACACATGGTCCTGAGGAATAAGACAGCGGGGGGTGAGCGTTTAGGCCAGTGAAACTACAAACTAAACTCTTTATTTTACCAGTTAAGGCCCACTGAGATATATACTGCATCTCTTTTTTAAGAAGTGACCTGGCCACAGATGATACACTCAACGAAGTGGCTCATCATCATCATCACGTGGAAATGTATTGCAGCAGCCAAATACTCTGCTGGCAGTGGTGATGGTCGTGAAGGTTTCCCAAGGCTTCATTTAGCAGTCAGTGACCACCGAAAAACGGTCCAGTGTAAGCCATCTTTAGTTAACGTTTCACCTATACATGCTTAGCAATACAATAGTATTGCTATCTCGAGAGGCCGTGCAATCGACTGCGTAACTATTACAACTGCTCTGTGTCCTGTGACACCGCCATATACACGCTTACATAAATCACAAGAGCCCCCATACGGCCAAGTATTAACGCTCCCTTACAATCGTCCCTGGGGTTGGCTGTCCCACCCCTGGACAGGCCACCACCTGTAATTGAGGTGCATGACGGCCTGGATGGCATTCCCGCCCCCCGTGGTGATGTCGCCTTCGAAGCCCGGTATGAGGGGCAGCACCACGTACACCCGGAACGTCCGATTCTCCCTGTAGGTGGGGTGAGGGCAGCGTGGGGGTGAGGGCGGCACGCTCGAATGCCAGGAATAATAACAATATTAATCGTTGCGGAGTAGTCCATCGGTTAACGTTTTTAATCCCTTGCAAGAAAACTACTGTTAACGGTATTAACTGTTCATCTATATATATAAAAGGGAAATTTGTGATTATGTGTGTCTGTTCAAAATGTTCAGCGTACTTCCCGACAGGCAACAAACTTGAAATTTGCCATGTGGGTACTTTCTAGACTTTACACCATGCAAAAATTATAAAAATACACTTTTGTATATATTTTTTTGGGGGGGGGGACGCAATAATGCATATATATTTTGCACGGCAAGTGAGCTGTGACGTCACATCTGTCATGTGACCCGTGTGCGGAAGCGTACCGGAGTGTGACTGCTAATCGCGGGTAAAGTGAAATACAAATGTGTTCCAGGTCTAAGGCGTTCTTCGCGCGGCATTGCTTTATTATTTCAGTCGTTTACTGCCGGACGCACCCTGAAAGTTGTGTGTGTCTGCAGCAAGCGCGTGTATGTGTATCTATGGACACACGCGCGTGTGTGTGTGGGGGGAGCGGTAGTGTCGCGGTTAGCGCCACGCTGCGCTACGAACCCGGCGACCCGGAGTTCGATTCCCGCTCACGGCCACCACCAGTGACGATTATTTGAGCCGGTCCTGGGCCTCCCCTAGGTCGACTCAGCCTCAAACGAGTAACTGGTGTGGTGTGTGAACATCGCCACTGGGGAGACAAAGGCGGCCGGGCGTGGTGAATACAAGTCCCGGGCGAAGCCGGGTAGTAAAGCTAGTCGAATATATATAAAGATCACTGGAGTCTTGCAAGAGAGCTGTTTCCCTTGCCAAAACAGAAACCGTAATGTGAACAAAGCCAGATGGTGTCTGAACACCTATTTAAGACGTTTTCAGTCCATTTAATGGTGAGGGTGTTTATTATTTACGTGTTTGGGAGGAAACCGGAGCGACACTCAATTCCCGTACAGATGGAAACAGATGCCGATGAGTCCACTTGCCGTGCTACCTTCTTCGGCAACAGACTTGTGAAGGCCTGGCATTAATGTCGGTGCTGCCCTGTACACACTTGGTCTTAATGTTAGTGCTGCCCTAAATTAGCAAATATTAACCCACAACAATTCGTTATGCAGAAAGCCTGGTTTCATTGTAAGTAGGTAGATGAAATGGATGGAGCGAGTGATTCAGCCCATTAGGTTGCCCCCATCGGTGAGAGATTGGTCAATAAAGGCCATCAAAAACACGTCAAACCGCCTTTAACCAATGAAGATGTTGCCTTTAATTTCTCCAATCCAGTTTCTCTAAAATATACTCTAATATTGATTTGAACAGCCTTGGTGATAGTGCATCTCCTTGTCTGACTCCCCTTTTGATTGAATTTTATTAAATCCTTCGTGGAATCTCCATGTGGAGGTTCCATCTATAATTGGCTTTTGTCATTATAAAATTTGCATTGGCAGACCGAAATAGCATGCAGCCAATAAGCTTTCCACATTCATTTATGCAGCAAAATGACGCTGGACTGGTTTTCGATTCAACTAGGACTCATCAGCAGAGTGTGACACCTCCGAATAGCACGGGTGACCACGTACGATGCGAGAGAAGTTCAACGTACATACATATGTGAAGACCGACAACAACAGACCGCTTACATGACACGGCACGTGTACAAACGGAGTCAGGAAGTGTATCAAGCCTCTGAATGGTGCAGAGAGGCTTCAAATGGGATTGGTTAGTGCCAGAGAATCGAACCGATTGGTTGAGAAATTCAAACGCAAAAGGCGGGAAAACGAGGGTGGGCTGTTGGGGTAACGGTTAACAACCGCTAGAGCAGGAGGACGAGGACTGGGTGACGGAAATGGGGGTGAGCGAAAAAAAAGGGGCTGGAGGAATATAAAAGGGGAGAGCACGAGTGGAATGGATGGTTGGAGAGAAGACGAAGTTCAAGCATCAAGAACCGAAGCCCGGGATCTAGGAATAGCGTCGTCTCCAAAATAAAGGCTCTTAGTAAAGCGAGAGCACGTGTTGGCGTCACTACACATACATTAACAACCAGAAAATATTGCGATGTACAGATGGTACCTGTAGGCCTGCAAGATCCTGTCCACGAGGGCATCTCCCACCTTGTTAAAAACCGTCTTGTTGTCGGCACAGCTGATGAAGAACTGATTCTGTGGGACTCGCAAATAATCAGACCGTTGACACGGAGAGTGGAGGCGAGGGTCAGTGTCAGGGGATCTGGCGGCACACACGGCACGCTGGGAAATGGTAGTGCACTGCCACTGGCGGTGCGGTGGCTTGGCGAAGTCGGTGGTGTTGGTAGAGCAGGTGGTGTCATTGACATTACTGGTGGTGTGGTTACTTGGTGGAGTTGGTGGTACTGTATGCATGTTGAACTTCTCTCGTACCGTATGTTGCCAACCGTGCTAATCAGAGGTGCAGGGGAAGGTCAATAAACTAAACACAACAAGCAGTTCGAAAGGAATTCGTTTTCAATTTATATTTAAAAGTGCATAGCTCCAATGGCTTCCTAATATAGGAAGAACGTTCCAAAATGGGTGCAGAAGCGCATCTGGAAGCGCGCAATGCTGTGACCACCGTCTTTCTTCGCTGGTTAGCCAAAAGCCGCTACTGTGAGGATGACCGGAGTTAGTTTGATGGTTTATGCTCCTTGACGAGACCAACAAGGTAATGATTGTGACCTCATGATTATATTCGTTGGGCAACCGGAAGCCAATGCAGCTCGGCGAGCACCGGACGGACACGTTTGGACCTTGCAAGTACCCGTCAGGACACGCGCCAAATAATTTTGTACACCGCCGCCGGCGATGTCGCTGGTGGAGTGGTGGCTCGGTGAAGTTGCTTGAGCTGGTGGCGCGGTGCCCCACCTCTATGTAGATGTAGTGCTTGCTGCTGCGGATGGCCGATAGGTACGCCAGGTGGATGGACTCCTCGTGACATGTGACCCCAGCTGACCAGTGGCTCACAGAGCGCAGCACCTGGGCCGGCGCATCACAAATTGGCCGCGGAGCAAACGTTGTGGCACATCTCACGAGTTTATGAGATAACGCACACCACACGAGCGTGTTTCAACAGAGGAGAGGTGCAGCCCATCTGTCAATTTTATACATGATTAAAATCCACTGCTGGATAAAGGTTTCTCCACACCGTATGGTTCGTGGGGGTTATCTGACTGGACTTCACCATGCTGTTCAGTGTGAATTGAGGAAGGTGGGCAGCAAAGTTGTGGGAGCATAGATGTACAGTATAACACTTAAATTTGCCGCACTACCCACAGTATAGCCCAGAAGCAGCCTATGACACTTGTTTTATGCATGGTGGTAGCACATCTAAGCCTTGTCCAAGTTGACCCCTGCTCAGCTTCCGAGATCTGATGAGATCGGGCACGCTCTGGGTGACTTGGTCAGAGGCATGGGTCGACAGCCAGGAGATATTTAGAATCCGCATCGGGTGGCAGCTTCAATCTGGATGTGAACTTGGCAAACCTGCACGTTGGTGGCCACGGAACCAGGCAGGGAGTGGTGGAGCTGTTGTGACGTGCGGTGGGATTTTGGCAGCAGGAAAGGGAAGGAGTTCCTTTTCGACTTCTTCTTCACGATCTGGAAGGACATCGCATTCCCGCGAGTCAAGAGAAATGTACGTGGTGCACCGTAGTCGCAGCGAGCCGACATCCTCGAACGTGATGGCTTAAACTAAGCTCGCAACTATGTTTTTAATTTACCAGGTAAGCCCCACTGAGTTATCAGCTTCTTTTCCAGAAGCGACCTGGCCACAAATGATAGCTCAACGAAGTGGCTTATCGTGTGGAAAATTATTGCAGCAAAATACTCTAAACGCTCGTTGAATCTAAATGTGGAGGGAAAAACCGGAGGACCCGGAGAAAATCCATGCAACTATGCTAGGTTTGGGATCGAACCCACGACCTCCTATACACCAGGCGAGGTAGTTAACATCTTGCCACCATGCTCCCGGCTTCCACACCCTTTTTCACTAGCACATCCGAGCGGAGCAAGCGCAGGGCCCTCGCAGAGCCAAACAGTCATAGGCTGGCCTCACACAAGGCCAAGCAGGGCCAGGGGGCCAGGGCTGTCACACATCGACTGCGCGTGACGTCAGTCAGCACACGGCGTCAACCGTGGTCATCAGCGGCACGGTTTGGGCTGTGCAGGGGAAAAACAACCTGGCATCTTCTCAAACCACGAAGGCCTGGCTTGGCACTTCCCTGGCGACTTCATTTCGTACATACAGAGCATGGCCACATGAGGCCTACCCAGGGCTTAATTGCTCATTGGTGGGGTAGGGTTGTGGCACAGACATAGCGAGGGGTATAATGGATGTGGGGTGTACTGGGAGTGGAAAATATTTTTCAGGTTACTGACCCGGGCAGACCTGACCGATATTAATCCCTGGGCCTACTACATAAAATTGGCCCATCACCATAAGCACCTCAGCAAAACTAATTATATCTCAGTTGTTAGCGCTACGGTGTGTGTTAATGTGTGGTCCACCAAAGGTATTTGAATGTCCTCTTTGGCCTTCAGTAGAGGAACCTGTTCCTCACCCCTCCTCCAGACATACAGAGCAAGGGAACATACAGGGTGCGTGCAGGAGGTACGACAGCCCTTGCACCCCCTTTGCCTCCCTGAAATTGTAAACACAGCAGCAGATGCCACAGCGGTAGCAGCAGAAGCAGCAGATGCAACAGGATGTTAAGTGAAAGCAGCAACAGTAGCAGCAGTAGAAGCGGTCCATAGAAAAAATGTTGGGTTAGATTGTGAAAATATAAATGTGTCGTTATAAGCCGGCACCACCCGATGCAGCCAATTAGTAAGATTTGTCACGTAAACAAAAAGTGCCAATTAGTTATTACGTCAGCACACCAGTGTGTTGGAGAGAAAGCCCACAACATTTACGATTCGAGTACGACGTTTCACTGGTGATTACAACAACCAGCATCATCGGGCGATTTGCCAGAATTGTGAAGAGGTGTTCCTGTAAAGGCGATGCCATCACCGCAAGCAGTAGCAGCAGATGTTGTAGCAATAGAAGCGAGAGCAATAGTAGGAGCAACAACATCATCATCATCAGTGGGCAGCAGTATCAACATCACCGTCGTCGTCGTCGTCATCAGTGGCGGGCGCACCTTGGTGAAGTTCCAGCGCTGGATGAAGTGCCTGGCGACGTCCCGCGCCGCCGCTCCGTGCACCGCGACGCCGGCGTCGTGCCACGGCATGCGCGGCGTCTTGTAGCGGTCGATGAAGTCTGCCGGGCAGAGCCGCAGCCGGGCGACCGACGCGGTGAACCGGTGAGCCCCCCCCCCGTTGTTGGTGTTACTAGCGGGGAGCTGGCTCGGCGACTCGGGCGGTGAAAAAAATATATGCAGGGCGATCCATCTATAGATGCCACAATCATTGCCACACTGCCCCCCCCCCACCCCTGAACTGCCGTTTACTTTTCAGCAGAAAGACCGAAGGTCGTGAAAGCGATGGCTCGGTGTCTCGCAGCGGAGAGCTTTGGGGAGAATTTCAGACGTGCGTTGAGATCGCCGAGAGCTGTGTAGAGGTGCAAAGAAGTTATAAATTTCATAACATAGCCGCGCCATAGATATCAAACCCTTATCAGTGCCTACCTTATTACAGACCAATTCGGACCTTATTGGTCATCCCATGCCCTTATAAATCTCAACGTTCATCCTACAAAGTGCCTTCACAAGGGAGAAACACAAACAAATAGACAAAGGAATGTGCCCGTATTGAAACGGCTGTACGCCGTATGGACCTGAAAACTCTATTACCATGTACAAGAACACGGCTAAACCGTATGGGTTGACAGGTATGTGAAAGGGTGTTATAAGCACCCTTAGCAAAATAGCATAAAATAGCAGAGCTGTCACATCCATGGACGGGGTGGAAACATTTCAGAGGGAGGAGAGGAGGCAATGCAGGGATTAGTTGAAAGGAGGGGGCAGAGGGAGAGAGAGAGAGGAGGGGGAAGCAGGACAGGATGGTGGCTGAGACTGGGAGCTGGACGTGTCAATAAAGAGAGCCTTTCCCCGTGTGCTGAGCCTCCGTGTTCCTTCTTACAGAGGCGTTGGAATGCGACGTCTTGTTTTCTCTACCGCGCCCTTGAATTTGAGTGTCCGGCCGCCAGGTGGCTCAGCGGCAGTGTGGGTGGGCGGGGGAGGTGGGTGGGCTCGCAATCGGAAGGTTGCGAGTTAAAATGTTGGTTGCGAGTTGACTCAACCCATCATCCCTCTGGGATCGATAAAACGAGTACCACGTTTTTTTTTCTCTTCTTTGGTTATTTCGGTAAAGTCACATAGAATGAGAATAAAATAAAAAAATAAAATAACAATAAAATTCTCACGACGTCGTGAGAATTTTATTGTGTTATTTTACTGTATTATTTTATTATTTTATTCTCATTCTACGTGACTTTACCGAAAGAACCAAAGAAGATGAATCCTTGCAGTCACGAAAGCTTTACATCGAAAAAGTACCACGTTGTGGGATAGTCCTCTGGTAAAACTTGCCCCAGCCATAAAATTATGGACTTTGATTATTACTTTAGTGGGTATGTATAACGTATATCTATATGGATCATCATGTTTTTCCAGCACACAAATTCGAGGACACCTCTTCGCAATGGCCGTGGCTATTCGTCATCCGACACAAGACAGTAGCACCCCGGTTTACGTCGGGGGATGCCTCCGTGAAAGATGCGACTACGAATATCAAAACGACGTCGATCAAAGCGATGTACAGGGTACGGTGGAGGCGAAGGCTGAGAGGCGACAGATAACGAGAAAGGACGGGCGACGCTGTCAGTGGCGCGAGTGTGGGGTTGAGGCGACGCTAATCAGATCGTAGTGGTATTCACAAAGTGACGGCGTATTTGAGATATGACGTAAAAGGGGGAGGCGTAAATCGGGGTATTAATGTCCATCAGTCTACCAGCAAGCTGGAAAAAAATGTTAGAAATGTCACCCTGCATACTGCCCTCTCGTCGATCCACTGCTGGATGCACTGAAAGAGGTGGTGGCGGCTTAGGGAGCCCTTCATCCAGCAGTGAATAGATCATGGCTGCTGCTGCTGCGACTGATGATGATGATGATCAATTCCTGGCCGCGATCAGTATCTGTGAGCGAGTGATATCCGAACCAGTCCTGGGCGGCCCCCTTAATCGACCCACACTGACCAGCATGGTGAAGTATGGTCAGACAACCCCTTGTGGCTGAATGACCGACGCAGTGCGGGAATGCCTTCATCCAGCAGCGGATTGAGAAGGGAGCAGTAGAGACACTGACCGGCAAAAGGCTTGTCAAGCTGCACCCAGTCCTTGAGTATGAAGTTGCAGTAGTCTTTCCCGTGCCAGAAACGTTCTTCACCACACACCGAGCCTGCAAAGACAAAAATATCCTCCGAATAACCTTAACAGACTGGGCAGTACTGCCACCAAACTATTTTTTTAATGTTACCAGGTAAGGCCCACTGAGCTATGTAGCTCTTTCGCAAAAGCGACCTGGCCACAAATGATAGCTCAACGAATTGGCTCATCATGTGGAACTTTATAGCAGCCAAATACCCTAAGCGCACGTTTCTAAATGTGGAGGGAAAAACCAGACGACCCGGAGAAAATCCACGTGACCACGGGGAGAACATGCAAACTCCAAATATACAGGCGTCAGGGTCAGGTTCAAATCCCCCGACCTCCTGCATACCAGGCGAGGTAGTTAACATCGAACCACCGTGGCACCATGTAATAATGTCAGCATGTGCTCGCGGGCCACTTCACCAACAAACTGCATCTCTCGTCTCCAGCTCTCTTAATATATTATGGCTCTTTTATCTCCCATATCGATTATCTGTATCTCTTTATATCTCGAGGGGCGGGGGGTGGGGGGCGTAGCTCAACAGCACCAGCAGTGAATAAAACACGGCGCTGGCTGTCACCGGTCGGGACCCACGCGAGGCGACGCCGCCGTCTGCGCCACGGTTGCCGCTGCGCTCTCGGACGCGGTGGCCCGGGAGCATGCGCGGCAGGGGCCCCGGGCGCCCGCCGGACCCTGCGCTGCTCTCGGAACGCTCCCGTGACGATGACGCCACCGCTGGGGTCGTGATCGTCGACGACGACGGTGGAGGCGACGGAACGATGCGGAGCGCGCCCTCCAGAGAGCTCGCCGGCACGCATGCCTCGTGCAGCTCCACCTCCTCGCGCCGCTCCACCTCCTCGCACAGCTCCACTTCCTCGCGCCGCTCCAGGTCCTCGCGCTGCTCCACCTCCGTCGTCACCATCGACTGCCGAGACCAACCGCTCGTAAAGTCATCTACTCCTTCATTTAAGCATTCAAACATCAACCCACTCGTCTCACCATCACCGTCACCATCGCGATCAGCTGGATGAGGCCTCCTTAAGACACCGCAACTAGCGAGCGGCCTCACACAAAAGAGGAATGAATAAAGGAGTCCCATGTGGCATTCTGCCCCGTGCCTCCAGGAATGTCTGGGTGGCCCTGCCACCTCCAACCTCACAGTTCCCACAATGCATCCAGCACCAGTACACTAGCCAATCTCATCGCTCCATCTCCACGGTGGACGATCTCTTGCGGGCGCTTACACCCACTCACCTGTATACTCTCGCGGTAAGGCCCACACCCCCCTCACCTGTACGCCCCATCCCTAATGGCCCCTCCCCCCGCTCACCGGCGACTCGCGACGCGAGAGCGAGGGGCTGCGCTGGGGTGTCCGGTGCACGTCGCCCACATCCGTGAGACGGTGCCGCTCGTCGTCCCAGCGCCCGTACGCCAGGTCGATGCCGCCCAGCAGCGCCAGCGACTGGTCCACCACCACCAGCTTCTCGTGGTGCGCCCAGAACAGCACCGTGGACGACATGTGGTCCGGGTGTCTCATCACCTGCGGCCGCGTCCGTGGGAAGGGCGGGTTTCACCGGCTGGGTCATGGCGCTGCGGTGAGTTGCCGGTTCCGAGAGCTCGTTTAGCGCGAGGATAATTGCAGAGGTGACCTTCGGAATTTTTTGTCATTTTTGTTCACCAACATCAGAATCAGAATATTTATTTATACTGGAGGGATTCGATGAACTATGAAGCTATTTTTCAAAAAAGCAATACAAAAAATATGATAAGAGTCCAAAGTATAGTAAAGGTAAACAAATAACTTTAAAAAAGTATGCAAATAAAACTAAATATTTTTATATTATCAGGTAAAGCCCACTGAGCTATGAGCTTCTTTTTCAGAAGGAACATTGGCCACAAATGATAGCTGAACGAAGCGGCTTATCACGTGAAAATTTACATCAGACAAGTACTTAAAAACGCGTGATGTTTCTAAATGGGCCGAGCCAGTACAGGGTCTTCACAGTACAAGTGCAGGGTCTTCGCAGTACAGGTGCAGGGTCTTCACAGTACAGGTGCAGGGTCTTCACAGTACAAGTGCAGGGTCTTCACTGTACAAGTGCAGGGTCTTCACAGTACAGGTGCAGGGTCTTCACAGTACAGGTACAGGGTCTTCACAGTACAAGTACAGGGTCTTCACAGTACAAGTGCAGGGTCTTCACAGTACAGGTGCAGGGTCTTCACAGTGCAGGTGCAGAGTCTTCACAGTACAGGTGCAGGGTCTTCACAGTACAGGTGCAGAGTCTTCACAGTACAGGTGCAGGGTCTTCGCAGTACAGGTGCAGGGTCTTCACAGTACAAGTGCAGGGTCTCACAGTACAGGTGCAGGGTCTTCACAGTACAGGTGCAGGGTCTTCACAGTACAAGTGCAGGGTTTTCACAGTACAGGTGCAGGGTCTTCACAGTACAGGTGCAGGGTCTTCACAGTACAGGTGCAGGGTCTTCACAGTACAAGTGCAGGGTCTTCACAGTACAAGTTCAGGGTCTTCACAGTACAGGTGCAGAGTCTTCACAGTACAGATGCAGGGTCTTCACAGTACAGGTACAGGGTCTTCACAGTACAAGTACAGGGTCTTCACAGTACAAGTGCAGGGTCTTCACAGTACAGGTGCAGGGTTTTCACAGTACAAGTGCAGGGTCTTCACAGTACAAGTGCAGGGTCTTCACCGTACAGGGTCTTCACAGTACAAGTGCAGGGTCTTCACAGTACAGGTGCAGAGTCTTCACAGTACAGGTGCAGGGTCTTCACAGTACAGGTGCAGGGTCTTCACAGTACAGGTGATTTTTTTCAATGGCTAGTTGCCGAGTCCAGCCGGACCCACACCATGACATGCTTGCAACAATCAGACGTCCGAATTGGCCTCTGGGCCCCTGCACTCACATACAGACCCGTAGACTCACGTAGAGGCCATAGACTTACAGTCATCGATAGAGTCATAAAGATTGTGCAATTAGTTGATGGTCTCATCCCGGTCACCAATGAATGCACACAAAAATAACCTTCCATTTAATTTGTTTTTGCTCTGAATTTTTGGCTAAATTGCAACTCTGAGAATGATAAATATAGTTTTTTTCTGCCATGCAGCAAACATTACTGTTACAGGACAGGTGGGAAAAGGCTGCCCCCTACTTTGTGCACCAGAGGCAACTTGAAGGAATCTCAGAGGTAGTTCTGTGGTGTCTGCTTCTTGGAGGTATTTTACTGATCACAAATCACCCAGGAGCGCAGGGTGGGGGGGAGGGTCTTGCCTTGATGTTGGGGTGGAGATCCATGAGCGTTTTCTTGGTGTAACCACTGTTGATGCCCAGAGCGAGTTCCACTTCCTTGTAGAGAAGCACAAAGATTCGTACTCCCTGCTCCTGCATGAGACACCACCATCACTATTATCAACAACAACACCGCCACCACCATTACCATCGACACCACCACCAGTACCACCGCTACCATCACCACCGTCAGCACCTCCACAACCACCATCATCATCAACAACAACACCACCGCCGCCACCATCACCTTCACCACCTCCACCAACAGCACCACCACTGCTACCATCATCACCGCCAGCATCACCACCGCAGAGTGTTATGATTTACCTCCCAGACGAGTTGATGACTTGGCTTGGTTCTGTGTTGAAAATTTGATTGAGGATTTGCTACTTTTTGTTTAAATTTAGTTTGCGTGTGGGGAGCAACGAGACATCAATGTAATTTAATTGATTCAATAAAGAGTCTCAGCACACACAAAATTGTTGTGTTAAATATGGGGTCTCTATAAAATTTCAGCGCTGAAAATGTTAAAATATCAGCATGACTGCCATGCGACAAACATCTCTACAGCTGGGCACGTGGGAAATTGCAGCGCCCATCTAAGGGATTTCAGAAGTAGTTCTGTGATACCCCCATCAGTGGGCCATTGTCTAACATGTGGTGATGCACTACGAGCTGCACAACTGTAAGGAAACTGGTGGGGAAAAAAAAGAGAAAACCATTCAAATGAGGGAACACCAATCCAAGGTATTATCCGTGTGATTCTGACCCGGATGTCAATGCGACGATCTATGATCAATGTACCGCCTTGCGCTTGAGAATGCAGTCCAGGCGCCACGTGTTCCCATCCACAATCGGCCTCCGCAGGAAGATCTCTGGGCTTAGCCTGCATGAGAGGCAATCAAATCCCAACATTATCCAGTCATCAGTCAAATTTGATGTTCACGCTTTTCTCAGGCCAGGTCTATACCCGAGCGACCGCTAAGCACAAGCGCATCGCTCCTTTCGAAATCACGCAACTTAATCGTCGCCCGCCAACTGCTTTGTCCACACCTGAGGTGAGTAGCTGCGCGGCAAAGACAAAGAGCGTCGTCAGGAATCGTAACGAACCCACTCACAGTTGTGCAAATGTGAGCAGAGTGGTGGTTAGCTGCGCTGCGCTGCAAACCGGGCAGGCCGCGTTTAATTCTCGGCCAGTAAGTAACGAAAGTGGCATGTATACGAACCAGTCCTGGGCCTTGCCTGGGTCGACTCAACCTTAAGTTAGGACCCTGGGGCGGTGTCTAATAAAAACATCGGCGCTGTGGAGACAAATGTGGCCGGGCGTTGCACTAGCCACACCACCCCATTGGTGCGCCGTGCCAACCATCATAGGCGCTCGCTAATAACAGTTTCCCCAACAGCGCAAGTAGGCTGCGAGCGCGTGTGTGTGTGCGTGACCGGTTGCCCGCGCCTCCCACCACCAGTCGCAGATGAAGATTTCTTCCGTCGCTGCCTCCAACGCAACTGCCACGGCGTCAAAATACCCGGCGGCGTTCACGAACCTGCGGGACAGCGGCCATGCCGGACATGACCCCCGAGGTTTTACGCGGTTTTGAACCCGCGGTGACGGGCGAAGGGAGGACGTGTCCGAGCTCCCCTCGGCAGGTCTTACTGGACAACTGTGGAAAAGAGCTTTACAGCTCGCCGGATTCCTGCAGTATAAATACAGATTCTGAGATTGTAGCTGGGCACTGCAAAGGTTGAGGTGAGACGGGATGTAAGGTGCTTTTGAGTTGCTGAGGCGTTGCAGCAAGCGCCCTACATAAAAGCAAATCCTCACTAACACCCTGAAGTGGAGCTGCGGGTGAGGTGGCTAGCGCACTGCGCTATGAACCTAGCGACCAGAGTAAAAATAAAATATATTGCCACGGCTAACATCAGTGGCAGGTGATATCTGAACCGTGTCCGAGCAACCCCCAACACCCACCATCAGCAACCCACAATGACCAGTGTGGTGAAATATGGTCACCAACCTCAAACACTGACAGTGTAGAAAGGCCTTCATCCAGCAGAGGTTGTGAGATAGGGCTGTAGGAATGTTTATTATAATAAAATGAGAAGTCCGTGATGTGGCCAGCATTGAAGACAACTCAAGAAGTGTCTCATGGCAACCTGGCTTTTTTATATTGAGCTGAAATTTTACCAAAATAACTGGAAACCCCAATCGAAAACGATGGGGTTTTTGAGCCGAGACCATTAATTCACTCCGCTAGAGAACCCGGTTTAAACATGGGTGGCTTTGACCTCAGGCCCAGAATCTCAGTGCTGCCAGCCAAGCCCTCTGACCACTAAGCCACTTACTTGGTCACCAACAACAACGCAGAGTCAGCCTTGGTGGCTGCTTTAAATCAAACACAGCGGTGCTCCGACACGGCCGTACATTATTTAGATTATTTTGCTGCTATACAAATTCCACGTGATGATAAGCCACTTCATTGAGCTATCACTTGTGAAAAAGAAGTGGATAGCTCAGTGGGCTTTACCTGGTAAGATTAAACATAGTTTCGTTTTATTTGTATATTTTTTTAAAGTGATTTGCGTACCTTTCCTATACTTTGGACTCCTATCGTATTGTCATATTGCTTGTTGTTGTAGCGTTCTGACCCTGTGTCCCTACTGGACATCCGTGAAAAGGAGCTTTTATAGCTCATCGGATTCCTCCTGCAGTACAAACAACAGACTCCGATGTCGATTCGGATACCAGTTGGCAAGGGTTCCCTCGCGGACCGGGGTGAAGGAGTTAAAGCGGTTGTCGGAGAGGAAGTCCTTGCCGTGCTTCGACGCAAACTCCCCGATGGAGCAAGCCCACGAGTTGGCCTGCCTGAACGTGGGGAACTGCACGGTCAGGGACCTGCGCGCGAGACCGAGGCACGCGCGACGGCATCTGTGTCATCGTCGTCGTCCGCATCACTTTCGTCGTTGCCATCGTCGATGTCGTCGCCGTCATCATCATCGTTATTGTCATAATTATTGTCATCGTTATTGTCATAATTATTGTCGTCATCGTTATTGTCATAATTATTGTCATCGTTATTGTCATAATTATTGTCATCATCGTTATTGTCATAATTATTGTCATCATCGTTATTGTCATAATTATTGTCATCGTTATTGTCATAATTATTGTCATTATCGTTATTGTCATAATTTTCACGGCTGCCATCGTTATCATTGCCGTCGTCATTTCCATCGTCAGCTTCACCACCATTGTCATCTTCATCACCATCGTTATTATCATCGTCGTCATCATCCCTTTGATAGCCGCCATCACCATCGTCGTCGTCATCATCGTCGTTCGCAGCTGTAACAATGTTCACAGCTGACATCGAGTCTCGTTGCCGTCAGTGGCGTCGCCGCGGGGTCTCCGCGTCTGCTGCGCTCGCCTGGACAGGTTCTGCAGCACGAGGCCGTGGCGCACGTCCACCTGGGCGGCTGCGGCGGCCGACTTCACGCAGAAGCCGCGGTCGTACAGCAGCACGGACGCCACGCTGCCGTCCTCGGGCCGCTGGTACAGCACGAACGAGTCCTTCACCACCAGCCATCTTGTGCCGCAAAAATCACACGAAGACAAGAAAAAGATCCCCTGAATAGCCTCCAACAGACGGTCAGGGGGAAAGTGCTGTTGGCGATCCGCCACCTGTGGAAGGTCGGCACGGCACACGAGGGGGTGGGGTGGTCAGCATCACGCCCGGCCGCCTTCATTTCCCCGATGCATTACACACGCCGCGCCACGGTGGTAAATTAAGTCTGAGTCGACTTAGCGGAGGCCCAGACCCGGTTCAGACATTCGTGCCGATGTTGGCCAAATCAAGCTTCGGGCCGTCGGGCTCGTAGCGCAACGTGTGCCAACCCCATAAAAAAATCAACAAAGATCCCCCATATAGCCTTAACAGACTGTAGGGGCAAATGCTGTTAGCGAGCAACTATGAAGGCCGTCACGGCACACGAGGAGGTGGTTGGCCAACACCACGCACGGCCGCCTTTGTCTCCCCAGTGGCGATGTTTACACATCGCACCAGGTACTCATTTGAGGCCGAGTCGACCGAGCAGAGGCCCAGAACCGGTTCAGATGATCGTCATCGGTGTTGGCCGTGAGTGGGAATTGAACCCGGGTCACCCGTCAGGTTCGTAGCGCAGCGCGCTAACCGCTACCGCTGACCCCATCTCCCACGCGCTCCCCACACGCGCTCACCGCCTGGCCCAGCGGTAGCAGGCCTTGTGGTAGCCGCAGCAGTGGAGGCCCGGGATGCGGTGGCCCCCGGAGCGTTTCACCACGGTCCCCTCCCTGCGGAGCACGCGGCCGCAAACGTCAGCGCTCGCTCCGTTCCCACGTGTCAGTTTTTGTTGTTATTTTTACTGAAGCTACCGACAATACCAAAAGGACCGCAGAGCTTGGGCAAAGTTAGCGACGGTTCTGGCCGCCTTCCCGCTTGTCTGTGGTTCATCGCTAATTCTACAGCAACATCGCGAGATGTCATTTGCATGAACGACGCTGCTTGCCATACATACACCGTAAAAAATCAAATATGACCAGTTTCTTTTCATCAACGAGAATGACAATTTAAAATAAAATTACTGAAGCGATGAGGAAGCAAGAGCAGGGAATAGGGTGGGGAACCGTGTGCCTCGAGGGCAGAAGTGGAGCCTTATAAACGATTGGCGCGTAACCTCACACTGGTTGACGCTAAAGTTTGATCGCACAAGGATTGTACATGTATGCGTTGACCGTGTAGGCTCAGAACTATTCACATGAACGTATTTGTACGTCATATTTCCACCAGCATTTGATAGGTCTCTCCGGCAGGTGCAAAATCTCCCTTAAAATATCAAAGGTATTATGTTATTATTTCAATGGAATTTCACGTTTGATCAGTTTTTTTTGGGGTTGCTTCGGGAACTTCGGGGATAGTCCCAGGGAAACGTTGGAGAAGCAGAACTCACAATCCCTTGGAGCCCAGGTCCCGGATGAACGAGAGCTCGCTGACTTCCAAGAACTCCATCTGAGCGGCAGCGGTCACAGCACCAAACACGTTTTGGAACGAGCTCACTCTTGTGGGTTTAGCTTTAAATCCCTTCCCTGCCCTGGGCTATTATTGAAGCCCGGAATTCTGTTTGTCCGTCAACTAAATTACAAGAACCTTTCAGAAAGTTCTAGCAAGTGGAACCCCCCCCCACCCCCCCCAACCAAAAAAAAATCACTCACTCCCCTTTAAAAAAGAAATAGATTTTGCAGGCATACATGCCTACACATCCTACATACAATAGTTAGTATAATCTGCACACATTGTGGGGGGGGGGGGGGGGGTGGAAGAAGAGGACATCAGTGGGGGCGACAGACCAGGCATAAAGTGTTGGGAAGCTCTCCGCAGGAGTCAGAATATCGATTTTTTTTTATTCCCTCCTTTATTTAAGATATCCCTTTATTTACACCTGTGGTTAGCGAACCACCCCCAGCACGATTTGTGGTTATATATTCATGAAAATGCACTGCGTCGCTGCACATGTGGTTAACGGACTTGGTGCTTCAGCTTTGATGTGCAGTACCTGCCGATGTTGTTTGAATGGTGCATAACTTGAATGTTGTTTTCCTGTGTCTGCAATGATTGATGCGCTGCTGTAACTTTTTTTTTTCACCAAGGCAAACAAACCAGGGACATATCTATAATGTTTTATTGCCAGAAAGGGTAAAACCTATTCTTATTTTTCATACTTTGATGCTGGCAAAAAAGGTCCCATGATATAGCTGCTCACCCCGAGTTATAAATGCTCTGATACGTGTGCCATTGTCTTTGTACTGTTCACCTTTTGACGTTCTCTGGTTTGACACTGGTGAAACACGGCCCTAAAGAAGGCTGTCTCTGATGTAGGCCAATCAGTTTCAAAGACAATGCTTATATAATTATCAGAGGATGTTTGTTTGCATGTTCACCACAAGTACGTGCGGTTAATACAGACATGATTCCTTGCAAAAGGTGTCTATTTGGTGTTTTAACATCTTAACACCCTAATCTAGATTTTAAGTTTTATTGCCAGAAAGGGTAAAACCTATTCTTATTCTTCAAACCAGGGACAATTTAACTGAAGCAGTCCTGGGACTACCCGAGGTCGACTCAGTCTTAAATGAGTACGTGATGCGATGTGTAAACGTCGCCACTTGGGAAACAAAGGTGGCCGAGCGCGGTGCTGGCCATCCACCCGCTCGCGTCACATGAAGGACTTCATAGGTACTCGCTAATGGAACTCACCCTAACAGTCTTCTCAGGTTATACGGGGGAACTTTGTCTTTGGATACTCACAGTAGCTGGATGATTCATGTAGATTGGCTGCTTGAGAAGGTTGGTGAGGAATTCCTGTAAGAAGTCCTGCGAATTGACGGACATAAAACGTAAAGATTACCATCCACCACACGCGAAGGTGAGACTGGCGAGGATCCAAGTGTGGAGTTGTGTGTGGCAGAAACCTGGCCTCTGAGCAAGGAAGACAAGGAGATTGGAACGTCTTGAGGGACGGTGTCAAATGGGAAAAAAATAAAACTCGTGGTGTCATGTGAATGGAGAGACAGAGAAATGATGTTCTTGATTAGGTCCAGGAGAAATATAATTTGTGTGATCTCGGCAAGGTAATTTAACACGGACGACCCCGTTAAACCACTTGCACGGATATTTTACACGGGAGACGCATGGTGATGAGCGAGTACAGCAGCAATGTACAGGGAGATTGGTCTCTGTAACCCTGTGATCCTTGACCTCACCTTGCCGGTGGAGATGTGCTCTTCCGTTACCATGAAGCCAGGTCGCCGTGGCAACGCGGGGACCTGCTTCTGATGCCCTTTGACGGACTTCCTGAGCTCCACGTGACTGCAAAGACAAAGACCGCCCCGTGTAGCCTTAACAGACTGTTGGGGCAAGTGCTGTTAGCGAGGAGCGCCTATGAAGGCCGACATGGCACACGAGCAGGTAGGTGGCCAGCACCACGCCCAGCCACCTTTGTCTCCCTAGTGGCGATGTTTACACACCGAACCAGGTCCTAATTGTGAGGCTGAATCGACCGAGGCGAGGCTCAGGACCGGTTCAGATAATCGTCACTGGTGTTGGCCGTGAGCGGGAACCAAACTCGGTTTTGTACCGCTACAAAGCTGTGTTCACGAGATTTTTGATCTGAAAATTCCAAAAAGTCAGACGTAGTCACGAAATCGCGGACAACCCGAACGTTCCGCTGATCTTACGGGTCGATTGGAAATCACGATTTACCAACAATACGTTGTGTCACGCGGCCAATATAGCACGCACTGTGACGCATATGAAACTCCGAAATTGTCTTTTAAACATGTGAAATGTTTCAATCCGAAACTCATCGTTTTCTCTAGAGACTGTTAGGGTGAGATTTGTTTGCAAGCAGGACTCGCCTTAACAATCTGTTAGCAAGCACCCATTCAGGCCGGAATGGCACATGAGGTGGTGGTGGTGCGGGCAGCACCACCACCTGACTTCTGTTGTCTCCCGAGTGATGATGTCCGCACACTGCACCAGCTACTTGTTTGAGGCCGAAGTGAACCTAGGGCAGGCGCAGGACTGCACCAGATGCAACTTTCAGGGTTCGTAGCGCAGTGCGCCAACCGATGCGCCACCGCTCCCCACTCCATCACACGCACAAACACCCACACGAGACAAAGCACGTGGTTTATTGTTGAAGACGGTTGGGGCACTCCCATGAGACGAACTGGGACAGTCTGCCGAGTGTAAACAAAGTGTATGTCTGTATTGTGTATAGTGGTGTGTTGCGGTCACACCCAGTGCTAAGCAGGCTGGCACCTTGATCAGCGTCTGAGATCAGACAACATCAGTCGCATTCAGAGCGATGATTTAGTCCGAGGCCAAATTAACTGACAGAAGTGCAGTGACCGAAAAATTACCCCAAGTAATTTGCAGCCTAAACGGCTATCTAAAAAATAAACAACGGTCTCCGATTGGAGGAAAGAGGCCTCCACGGTGATTGGTCGGGAGGGCAGACTTTAAAGGGACTGGAGAATAAGGCGGTTGAACGGGAAAACAGAAATAATTCGTTAAAGGGAAAGGACGAGGATTGGCTAGAGGTAAAACAAGGACAAGAAGGTTTGAGAAAGGGGGGTGAGGGATATATAAAAGTGGCTCTACTTATAGTCTTGTCATCGGAGTCATTACAGAAGGCAGCCCCAGAACGTGGTGGGTGTTTTTTTTTAGTTTCTGGACAGACGGCGTGAGTGCGTGACGGGAGGGTGTCTGATCGTTGTCTTTTTACGTCTTGGTAGGAAGCGGGATCTTGAGGAGCATGTCGAATCGGAGGAGCTCCTGATGGAGCATCACGAAATGCTTGAAGCGGCGCTTGATCTTCCAGCAGAACTCTCCGTGCTCCAGATTGATGTTGTAGACGTTGGGGTTCAGCATCTGCCCGTGAAGAATGCAGCGACGCGGCAAGTCGGTGAGGTGGGATTGGGTGGGGTGAGGTGGAATGGGGTGAGGTGGGATTGAGTGGGATGAGGTGGGGTTCGAGTGGGGTGAGGTGGGGGTGGGATTGGGTGGGGTGAGATGGGGTGAGGTGGGATGGGGTGAGGTGGGGGTGGGATGGGGTGAGGTGGGGGTGGGATGGGGTGAGGTGGGGGTGGGGTGAGGTGGGGGTGGGATGGGGTGAGGTGGGGTGGGGTGAGGTGGGGTGAGATGGGGTGGGGGTGGGATGGGGTGAGGTGGGATGGGGTGAGGTGGGGGTGGGATGGGGTGAGGTGGGATGGGGTGATGTGGGATGGGGTGAGGTGGGATGGGGTGAGGTGGGATGGGGTGAGGTGGGGGTGGGATGGGGTGTGGTGAGATGGGGTGGAGTGAGGTGGGGGTGGGTGGGGTGAGGAGGGGTGGGGTGGGGGGGACGTATGGTGTGTTTCAGGTGAGAACTCAAGAGACCAGATTGAGTCTCATTTGCTAGCGTGACCTGGGGTCAACAAAATGACAGAAGCAAAAGCACAAAACAGAGCGAAGTCAGTAGTAGGACAGCGTTTCAGAAGAAATCGAAAATGCTCCATCAACACAAATTAATCTTAAAATAAAAAAAAATTCCTGAAATGAAAGTTCCCTTGGACAAATAACAAAAAACCGTTAAATTATGTTACAGAAACATCAACATTGATTTAGGGTACGTGTCACAGAATCGACAGGTGAGCATCCAATTGTGATTTACATGCAATAATATTGAACGTTCAGATAATATAATCAACTCACAACAGTGGAGAACCAAGTCCATGAGAGGTGGCTAAAACCTGGTAGGAAACCAGGATCTCAACAGCGCCTCTCTGACCTTGTGCCACCTGTAACACTAAAGTTTATTTTAAATATCCAATCTAACCACCTCCTCCCCTTCCATTCGGGGGCAGCGGGAGGCAGGGAGGGAGGGGAGGGGTACCGTGGCGTGAGACGTGGAATCGTAGACGACTCGGCACTTCTGAATCTTCCCCAGAGCAGTACGACCCTTCATGATGGAGAGCTGCCCACGTATTAGCTGATATTACCGGCCTTTTCAAGTGACCTCCGGGTTCAGCAGCGGGTGACACTTTCCTACTCGCCCTGCTGCAGAGGAGTCAACGTTCGTCGGCCCACACGCTCAAAACCGACAATTCTCAATTCCGGGACGTGAAAATGAGCCGGATCAAGCGCGGAGGCGAATTTAAACCGGCGAGTAGCAGAGCCGCGACCGGGAGCATTTTGGTGTCATGTTCTCTCTTCAGAGCGGGCGCCGTTCGTCTCTCCGCACCTTGGCGGTGGAGGTGATGCGCTCCACGGCCACCAGGCGTGCCCGCACGGGCACTCCGCCGGGGAGGAAGACCCTGCGCTCGGGCGCGCGGAAGGGGAGCATGCGGTACGCGGCTGTGAAGGGGATCACCGCGTCCCCTAGCAGCGTCAAAGTGGAGGGGAGGGGGGGTTTAGAACAGGGCGGGAGCGGGGTTGGAACGGGGGGGGGGGGGGGGGGCGATGAAACGGAGAAATGCGTTACGGCAGCGGTGGCAGAAAAACCCAGAAGGATAAAATTTTACAAACTGGACAGCCAGCTGATTAAGGGAGGCTCAGCCTTTTTGGTATGGAGGTCCCTCCAATCTCGGTCACTGGTCTCTGTGCCCCCCCCCCACCCCCATATTTGCTGTACCATTGTCCAGCTTAGAAAACGCCCACGTGTTTACTGAGACCACAACATAGTGAGATCACATGTCCACACCTCGAGTCAAAAGTTTTCTGGGAAGACATTTGTTTTTATGTTGTGCATTAGCATGCATCGCTGCAAATGTTTTCTCCGGCACGGTAACCAATGCCACAGCCTGCCCCGCCTGCTGAAAGACTTTCCCTCCGATTGAGAACCGCGGTCTTAGGGGATTCGAATGTACAACACCGTTGCAAAGAAACAAGAAAACGCATGGACTAATGGACGCACGTTCATTGTACACTTACATCCTCGCGGTCTGTATGTATGTGTAGTGGAGTAGGAAGGTGCGTAGTGCAAACAGTGTGATTGCATGGAAACAAAGACAGTACGGCTTATGTGGGGTCAGCCTGTTGTGAAGGCAAAGTCATTACGGGTCATGTTGGGTCAGCCTGTAGCGAAGGCAAATACAGTACAGGTTATGTTAGGGCAATTAAGTTGGGGGAGCCAAGGACGGCGGTGATTGGTTGGTGTTGTTGTCAAGGCTGGAGTGGCGTCTTGAAGTCTGGCGAGGTAACAGGTGCACGGGCACGCGGAACGCCGTTGGGACGCGGGTTAATTAATTGGGGGTGTAATGAGAGCGGGGATAAGTTCGAGAGTTGGAGTCGGGAGTGGAGAGTTGGAGTTGGGGGCTGGACGAGGCAAGACGTGGAGCAGCTGAGGGGACAGAGTTTGGAAACAGAGTTAGGAGACAGAGTTTGGAGACGGAGTTGGAGAAAGAGTTTGAGACAGAGTTTGGAGCGGAGCTGAAGAAGAGAAGCAGCTAGCAGTAGAGAGAGCGTAACGATAGCGGAGCTGAAGAAGAGAAGTAGTTAGCAGTGGAGAGAGCATAGTGACGGTGAGAGCGGAGAGCAGAGACAGTTAGCAGTGGAGAGAGCATAGCGACGGTGATAGCAGAGAGCTGAGACGAAGCAGTTAGCAGTGGAGAGAGCATAGTGACGGTGATAGCGGAGAGCAGAGACGAAGTAGCTTGCAGTGGAGAGAGCATAGTGACGGTGATAGCGGAGAGCGGAGACGAAGAAGTTAGTGGTGGAGTAAGCGCAGTGATAGTGGGGAGTGGAGAGACAAAGGTGGCGAGCGAGTCGAGTGAAGCACGGCGAGCGAGCCGTGGCGACATGGATACTGTGGAATATTGAGGACATGCGGAGAGTTGGAAATAGAGCGGTGTTCGAAGAAAGACAAAAGTTGTCCGAGTGAAATCGAGCACTACATATGTATATATTGACCTTCTGTCGCACCGTAGGTAGTAAATCATGCCAATCAGAGGTGCGGGGGTCTCCCGCAGCCCTCATTGGTAAACGGCGAAACGTTAAACATTCGTTGGGGTCAGCTCGGACCGACGCTGTGAATGCAATGATCGATGCCGTCAGATTCGGTGGAGATGTACGTTTCACTTATTTTCTTTCGCATGGCTGATGTAGATGCAGAGCAGCAACAACTACAATTTCACATTCACGTGGTCAAGCCCAGACAACCGCATCAGAAGTTTATCGCTGTGATGTCTCGTTTCACTCAACTGCAATCCGTCTTTAAGAGTGTGAGGAATTCTAAAGGCAAAGTACGGTGGAGAATTTAGAAAGTAATCCAGAAGTTAACAGTCACCAGGTAAACACTTGAGCCTGCATGGGCTCTTTATACGGTCGACCTGGTTAAAACGGCCATGAAGTTAATACTCTAGAGTAATGGAGCGGATTGTTTCACTGAAGTGAGAGTCTTAATAGTGTTAATATTTCTGACCTGTTCCAGAGGTAGAATATGGGCTGAATATGGCAGCTTAATCAAACCGATTGCAGGAAGTTACAGTATCGGTTGGTCAATCTCTGCCTAATCAAAGAATGCACCATCGGCGATGAGATGCGTGGCGTTCACCAACTTTCTCGTTTAATTCTCCTGCGTCGGAGCAGGCGGAGCCCCCCCGTGTCGGTGGTCACTGACCGTGGGCCAGCGGGCTCGACAGCTCGGACAACTCGGAGAGGGCCTCAGAGAGATCCTCATCAGAGGCCTCGTCGGGCAGGATGCGGTCGTCGTTGCTCGCGGGAGAGCGAGAAAGCCCCACGGGGCGTTGCATCGTCCTGCAACAATTCACCGATTTTAAAATCGATTCTTGAACTCGCGGCACGTGTGACCGACGCTTTGGTGAAGCACGCCTGCGATCCAGCGCCGGGGATGCAGCAACGTTGTGAAACTCCCGCGAGCGGAGAGGAGGTGCCCGTACCCTGGCTTGCCTGGAGAAGGCGGTACAGCAAATGTGGACTCCACCCATTGCATCTGTATAAAATAGAGTGTTGCCCCCTCGCACGTATGGGTTTTCTCTGGGCGCTTTGGTTTCCTCCCACATGTAAAGACTCATTAATTGACCAATAACACCTCAATATATAGAGGACCGCAGAGCTTGGGAAACTGTTGGCAGCACCGGCTCATCGCCTGGCTGCTGCCTTCCAGCTTGTTAATGGTTCCTCCTCGCGCCTATGAGTAGTTCTCTCTCAGTGAGAGCAAGCTAATACTGTGCGGCACGTTACAAGTTGAAATTATTATCATCATTAACTTCCTCTTGCGAATATGGCTTAGTGTAGTGATTCCAAACCTTTCTGGACCCGCGCAGCGCTGTCAACCTTCGAAAAACATCTTTGCGGAGGTAGGAACTGGGTGCTCCCCCCCAGGTATGACAACATGATTCTAACTTCGGCCGCATTTGTGCCTTGTACGATGGTCATAATTGTTCGGAGTTTGATCAAAGGCTTTGGCACGGGGATGAAAGTCAAGCTTCTTGACTTAGTATTACAGCCATCCCATGCCTGGTCAGACGAGATTGTTGTGCCGAGCAGATGTTGTTAAATATCATGGGCGGACCTGGGGATTTTTAGTTGAATGTCACCAGGTTTTTGCCACCCCCAATCAAGAATTGTTTTCAAGTGAGTGGTGACTGATAGGGAAGTATCTGCGCATTGGGCAGCTAAATGTCTATTCATGTTGAATTTACTTAACCGGGTGAAAAGTGAGAATGCAATAGACCAGGGTGAGTCTGTTTTGCAAGAGTGATGTTGGTCACAACAATTACAAAAGCAATACCATAATCAATCCATATAATAGAGGTCGGTAAATTTAAACTCTGGCTATACTCTTTGGTTCTTTCGGTAAAGTCACGAAGGTAGAATTTTATTTTATTTCTACCTACGTGACTTTACCGAACGAACCAAAGAGTATGGATTCCTGCAGTCACGAAAGCTTCAAATCAAGATTAAACTCTGGCTGTTGCTTGATGGTGCTGGTTGTAATTACCGGCGAAACATCGTACTCGAATTGTAAATGTTGTAGGTTTACTCTCCAACACACCGGTGTGCTGATCTAATAACGAATTGGCACGTTTTGTTTACGTGACAAACCTTACTAATTGGCTTTGTCGAGTGGTGGTGGGTTTAATGACACATTTATATTCATGCAATCTAACCCAAATAACTTCTATTATGGATAATATTCGTCGTGAAAGTCCTACTACATGTTAAACTGAGCATAAAACAAAGGAGCAGTGATACAAATAGAAATGTGAGCAATGAGTCACGTTACAGAAGGAAACTGCATAAGCAAAAACCAATATATAAATGTCCTGTTATGAAATTCGGCTCAGGCATTTAGGTTAGATCGCGTAAGTATAAATGTGTCGTAACTGTCCACAACCCGACACAGCCAATTAGTAATGGATTTGTCACGTAAACAAAACGCCAATTAGTTACTACTTCAGCCCACCGATGTGTTGGAGAGTAAATCCACGACATTTACAATTTGAGTACGACGTTTCGGTGGTAATTACATCCAGCATCATCGGGCGATTTGCTGGAATAGTAAAGCAATTGACCTGATTATATCTATTTAAAAAAAGGTCATTGTAAAGATTAAGTTACAGAAACATTCAGCTTGGGAGCTAATCTCACTACTGTCTTCAGCTGTGAGTTAAGCGGGCCTCATTTAGTTCGTACCGGGAAGGAAACCGGGGTGACTGTATTGCAACACAGCGCACAGGGAGGAAAACATGTCCTCACCGTGCCAAGCTGGAGCCTGACCATACCAGCACAACCTCGATTGCAGAAGAGCCAGGGTCAAGTACAAACATGACCTCCTCTCACTTCGACTCGTCATTGTGAAGGGTCGGCGAGCGCCGCGGGATCATGAGAGGGCTTAGAGAAACTGGCCCAATGTTCCTCGCCTCTGGGTTGTGTCTCCTAAGTTTTGGGCAAACCCTTATTGATGATCAATGTGGCCAAGTTTGCAGTCGGGTTAACTAACTACTGGCTGCCTCATATCGCATCAACCTCACAAGATGTATGGTGCTCCCCTCCCCACCACCTCGTCCTCTTGTTACAGACGGATTTACGGACTGGGTTAATGGCTAAACACGTTCAGCCTGATGTGTTTACAATTTAGAAAAATAAGGCATGGTAGAGGTATAGTGTGCAGAGGGTGTACATTATAGTACAGTGTCATTCCACTAATATATTGGCCAATTTGTTTCCACTTCCTGACCAGTGAATCACGCACGCACTCACAGGGGATTGTGCAATACCCACCCACGCCTTCAGATATAACTTCCCCACGTGAGTGTGAAGAGCTAAATCAAATCACAAATCTATACGTGACATGATGAGTTTTATGCATGTTGAACTTCTTTCGCACGGCACGTAGCCAATTGTGCTAATCGGGGGTACGTGCGATGCCAATGTCAATTGACACCCTTGCAAAAATAAGATGTTCCATCTCAAGGGACTTTCCAGGTGAAAGCCTGGTAGGACCAACGGACTCACAGGGCCTTTCTCCTGCTAGTTCCTCTACCCTCCGGCCCATAAAATGTTAACGCTTAGCCTGAAAGCGTTTATTTATTGGCATACGCTCTCATAATTGTTATCCAGTATGAACGCAACAATATTAACTTGCGTTGCTATTATTAAAGGCCTTACGCCGTTGCAAACCGGCCTGAATGGAGACAAACACACCTGAGCAAAAATAACTTGCAAAGGTGTTTTGCCCTGACAGCTACCCATCAGCATCCATATCGCTAAAAACAGCAATGCACTTTCCAAGGGAAACGTGTGATGGTAAGAATTACATAATCCATGCGTATCAATTTCTGTCCTGGCAGACACGCTACTGCACCGCAGCAGGATGCGTAGCCTCGCCACAATTCATTTGGCCCGCCCAACGGGAAGCCTATAGATCAACAGGGCCCACACGTGCCTTTATCGATCGACTCAATGTACGATTCCGTCAAACTATCCACGCCCCAGCCCCAGCATTCTATTTAACCGAGAGACGCTGTTGGGCGACGTGTACCTGCCGAGATCACTGACACTGACTAGCTCCACCAGGAGGCAAGAGGCTCGGACTGCCCGGGAAAAAACAAAAGAGACACGACCAGAGACAATCGATCTCCCTCGCTGTCGCGAAGAGAACACCAAACGTGCACTGGAGAGAGACACGATAAACAATTCATTGTTTGGAATATCCTGGGAAGAGGTGGTCGAGCTCGCTGGAGCTACCTTGCCCGAAGTGCTGTAGAACGATTAATTTCGCGAATTGACGGGAATTGCTTTGGCACGTCACATCCGGCTTGCCATATTTTGTCCCCGATAGTAATGCGACGATGCCATGCATTTCATTTTATAGACGTGTTCGTACGATTACTTGAAGAGAGGGTACAATAATATCGCATTATTTTGCATATGCGTACCTTGTACTGTAGTTGTAGTGCCTTACGCCATTAATCACGACTCCAAGTAAGCAGCTTAGCAGTAGCGTTCTGGAAAAAGAACATCGTGTGTAAAATTAAGCCTCGGCTGTACAGTATGAAGTATTTTAATGTCTAAAGCATGCGCCCTGCAAACGTCACACCACTGATGGGATGCCATCTCTCCCTGTCGGCACGGAGGGGTTGGGTATTGTGTGCCGGGATGAGGAAACCAAGGGGGGAAGGGAAACATTTTTGTAACAAGCTACAACATCATATTAGGAGCAACAACTCTACCCATTACTCATCACAAAATCGTCATACATAATCTGAAACATCACCGAGACAACGGCGAGACACATCTACAACTGAGGAATGATCCTGCACAGACATGAACACTGACATCACGTGCAACGTGCACAACAAACACACAATCCAAAACCACGTGAACTAAAACGACACAGGCGGTACGTGATGGAGCGATGCATTTGTGAGTTGACCCCAGCATTGCGGAGGGCTTCATCCCAACAGTGGACTGATCACGACTGATAACCATGATGATGACGATACTTAAATTGATAAAGAAACCAACCGCAATGCACTCACGTGAATAGCGCAGGAGACGGCAGGTGTGGTCATTCGAAGATTCAATGTCGGGAGGTCCAATGCGCCACAAATTAACAATTCGATGGCTGAGCGAGCGGGAGAAACTGAGAATTGGCGACGAGGTGCCCTGGACGAGGTGGCTGATGAGGCAGCTGCATGCAGCCGAGGTGACTGCCGTGCCAACTTACGACTGCGAGTCACTGTCAAATTCGTCCACTCGCCAGTATCGATTTTAATTTCCTCTTTTTTGAGCCGGGGTGGGGGGTGCTTGTGCAGTGACGCGCACTCAAAGGAGTCCCCCCCCCGCCCCCTGTGTTATTTCAGGGCAGTCCCATTTTCATGTTGCGTCTCCCTGACTTTTTCCCCATTTAAAGGTAGTGTCACTCAAATGTACCGGTGTCCCCGTGGCCTGAACAATCCCGGTGAGTAGATTTATATCAGTTGGGTTTGCCTCGTTGGAAAATCGGCCCACAGAGATTCCGGATAGAGTCCCCTGTATCACGGTGTTTACCGTCACAGCTAACGCTAATGCAGTGACTGTGAATGTCACTGTGTGGTGCCGGGCTTATGAAGCCACGGCGGATAATATAATTATGTGCAGCCTGGTTACTGGACGTAGTACCAGCCCTAGCGGAGCATGGGTGAGCGCTGGTCAGCGCGGAGGCACCACGTACAGTGTGCGGTGCGGGCTCCCGGTAAGGGAGCGAGAGAGTGTCAGCCAGCCAGGGTTACGTAGGGGCATGATTCGCTGGTTGACCTGCCGACATGTGACCGGATGATATTGGAGGGGGGCCACCGGTGGACGGAGGCCGCTGGGCGGTCACGTGGTATAAAGGAGCTCTCGGGAGCCTTCGAGAGATCTAGAAGGTGGGCGGGGCGAGGGGCAGAGCCAGCCCCAGCCCAGGCTGATATAACGGGGGCCCCGTGAGGTTTCGGGGTTCGTCGGGTTGTTGGTGACGAAGATCCATGTCGGGTTGAAGAAGCCTCTAGCCACGCGGTCTGGGACCCAGCTCGTTGTCCAGACCAGGATAGCGAACCGTGTCTAGTTCTGTCGTAGCGTGGTTAGATGGGCATTCAACACCCAAGTGTAGGTTACGTTATGTTGCGTGTTGAGTTGGTGTAATAAATATTGTTGCTCCCAAGACAACGTCTGCGACTCAGTTGGACTCACTACAACTGGTGTCGGAAGTAGCCAACCTGCTAAGCTGTAGCTACCGGTAGACAAGTCATGTCTACACATCACAGAGTTTGTGTACGGGCGTCGGACGACGAAGACGACGAGGAGCTGATTCAACCCACCACGGCCGCCGAGGAAGGAGCGGAGGCGCTGCCGGCGGAGCAGAGCGCAGTCAGGGTGCACGGCGCCGTGCCTTCGTTGGAGGTGCTTGTCAGGGACGCGCACAGCCGTCTCGCTGACCTCCTTCATGTGGCGTCCTCGATCCTCGTCGAGATGTGGTCCCTGCCCTCGATGGCGAAGGAGGGAGCGGTCGAGTTGTCCGAACGAGGCGACTAGGCCGCCATTTCACAAAAGGTGGGAAGGCCATCGCCGCTGCCCGCACTCGTGGCGCCATTTTGCCGCCGGCGCGGAGCGCTGAGCCCGCCAAGCTTGAAGAGGGGACGTCCTCGTCGATTGACGTCTAGTCGCTCCGCCGTTGACTGCCCTTCATTAAATAATTTGTTGCCGCCAGCGGCGACTCGGTGGCGTTTAAGAGGCAATTTCTCACCAATGCCGACTTGATGGGATGGTCGGAGGCAGACGCGCTGAAAGCGCTGCCCGGCGCCCTAGATGATAACGCCTAGGCGTCATTACTTGCCTTTCCGCTGTCTGAGAGGTACACCCTAATGCAGGCGTTTGACCAGATGGCCGCTGTTTTCGAGCCTCCGCTGAACACCCGCCAGAAGTTCGCCGTAAGACAAAAAGGGGATGGTGAGTCGGCTCTCGCCTACCGAAGTGCGCTCTTGGTGCTAGTGAAAGCCGCGTTCTTAAAAATGGACCACGACAGCCTTGACGCCTTGGTCCTCAAGAAGATGTTGGGACTCGCCAAAGACCTCCATACTGTGCCCCCCGCTGAGGACGGTAAGGTGTCTTCACTCAAGATCGCCAGGTGCATACAGGAGCATGAGACCCTGCAACGTGACAGGATGTTGGTGGCATGCTCTGCGTCTTCCGCGGAGCCCGGGGCCCACGCGGACGAGGAGCCTGCTCCTGTATGCACGCTGCACCAGCGGAGCGGCGATCGTCGGGGTGACGGCGATCGGCCGCGGGACGACCGGCGGCGGGTGAGGTCTGCATCGTCCCAGTCCAGCAGTGGACGGGTCTCCTGCTACAACTGCGGCCTACCAGGGCACGTTCAATCGGGCTGCCGGGTTCTTCGACGGCGGCCCCCGGGACGTCCGCCTTCCTACAACTCTCTGCTCCCTAAGGCGAGTTGCAGCACATCCCACATTCGGCCCCAGGGTTCACTTAACCCATCGGGGGGGGTCCGATTTGCGTCGGGGTCGCGCACGGTTTCGGGAGGAGTTGGTGCGTGTTCGCAATGCGCGGCTGCTCTGACCGGATCAGAGGTTGGAGCTGGCACATTGAGTGGTTGCGGCAGCTGCGTGGTCGTCGGGTGTGCTTGGGTTCATTGAGGGGGTTGAAATTCGCATGCTAGTTGACACCGGTGCATCTTCAACCATTATTTCCGACCTAATTTACAATATTTTGTACCCCCGGTGTCGGGTTTTGGAGCCGGTGGATGCTTCGTTTTTCGCTACCAACGGCGGATCGTTGGGGATAATCGGTTGGATAACTGTTGAGTTGTGCATTGCCGGTCACATTGTCGGCCATATTTTGGTTTCTACAGCCCTGGCTGTTCCGTGCTTACTAGGGACTGATTTTCTCGGCAAAATGCCTTTGAAGATTTGTATCAATCAGGGCTGTTTGGAATTGCCATTGGGACGGCATATGGTATTTCTCCCGTCTCTAACCCGCATGTGTTCTGCTAATGCCATGGTGCAAACGCTTGCGTGGCGAATGGTGCGGATTCCACCTGGCGTGCAAATGTTGGTGCCCCTTCGATTGCGTAAACCGCTCGATATGCACGCTGTGGGGGACGGTATTGTGTTGGGTCCCTCAAATAAGCTTAGTCGGGGGATGTCACTCGTAGCGGCTGAGATGCTGGTGTCCCAGGACCAGGCACCATTTATACAAGTCCTTAATGCCGGGTTGGACACGACGGTCATTCAGGAGGGTTCCGTGATTGCACATGCGTCTCTGGCGTGTCCGGAGGCGGATGTCATAGGCAATGTCCGGGTCGGCGTTCGGGCTCACGGACCTCGGGATGTGGATGAGGGCTTGATGGATAGATTGTGCTCTGAATGTGGCGCTTTGTCCAGGGGACAAATGGGGAAGCTGAGAGCGCTCCTGCGGGAGTTTTCCGACATTTTTAGCAAAAGCAAATTTGATATCGGTCGGAAGTTCCTGTTGAGCCACCATATTGATACGGGAAATGCCGCCCCCATTCGGCAGAATCCTTACCGCCTGAGCCCGGCTGAAAAGGAACACGTTCGGCTGGTGGTTGATGAGATGTTGGCCACATATCATCTCGCCATCCACCAGTCCATGGGGTGCTCCGAGTGTACTTGTTAAGAAGCACAACGGCAGTTTGCGGTTTTGTATTGATTTCCGCAAGCTTAACAAGGTTTCTGTTGCGGATGCATACCCCTTGCCGAGTATGGACGATTCGTTGGACGCTTTGGCGGGCGTGCGGTTCTTTTCCACCCTTGACCTGTCCGGCTTTTGGGGCGGGCTGCTCATGTATTGGGATGGAGGATTGCGCCGTTATGCTATTGTTGTCCCTACCTCCCTGCGTGGCGAGGTTGTATGGGCTGTGCATAAACGATTGTTGCATCTCGGAGTGCAAAAGATGCTTCCGCTCTTTAATTGGATTTTTATTGGCCGGCCACGGCCTCCAACATCGAGGATCTGCTTAAGGGCTGCGTGCAATGTGCCCGGCTGAAGCCACCAGTGAGATCCTGTTGCTCTCCGCTGCAATCCATCCAGGTGTCGCGTGTTAATGAAATTGTTGCCCTTGATATTTTCGGGCCGTTTCCTACTTCCGCGCGTGGAAATATGTACTTGCTCGTGGGCATTGAGTATTTCTCACGCTGGCCTATGGCCTGGCCGCTCCCGAATCAATCGGCTGTGACTATTACCGAGGCGTTCCTCAATGGCTATGTTCTGGATAAGGGTGCCCCCGAGCGCCTCTTGACAGATCAAGGTAAAAAAAAATCGTCCAAGCTGCTGTGTGAGGTTTGCGATTTGCTTGGGACGAAAAAGGTACGCACGTCACCGTACCACCCGCAAACGGATGGCATGGTCGAACGCCTACACCGGACTCTGACCTCTATATTGAGTCATTTGGTCCGCGAGTCACAGGTCGATTGGGACTTGCATATTCCTACGGTTCTCGCCGCTTATAGGATGACGCCTCACACGTCCACTGGCTACTCTCCCTGCTTTTTGATGTATGGGAGGGAGTATGATCCTCCCATCGATGTGCAGTTGCAAGCTGTGCCCGCCCCGAAAGTGTCCAAAATTTCGGATTCGGTTCGGTTCACGCTTGCCAAACTTTCCGAGGCGCGGGAAGCTGCCAGTTGGCCAACGAGCGGCTCAAAGGAGCCCGTGTTGCCCTGTGCAATTGGTCACCGGGGGACAGGGCCTGGTTGCATTGTCCGCAGGTGCTGGTGGGCACATCTCCCAAATTGCTGCAACCAAGGAGAGGGCCGGTTGATGTGGTTCGGGTCGTGTGGCCGCAATGTGTCCAGATTTGGTTTGGTAAGCTGAGCTGGTTTGTGCACCCCTCTCGTCTTAAACCATTTATCGTGCCGAGTGTCGGGTGTGCCCGACGAGCTGGGGCGTGCGTCTGCCGACGCTGGTCCTCAGGAGAGTATTTCTGTTCCGCCCCCAGGCGCCGCGCGATTGATGCCTCGCACGCGGCCGCTCGTGTCGGCCTCGCATGCTCTGGATGTGAAGGACCCGCCGGCCCGGCCTACTGCTCTTTGTGAGGAGCCGGCTACGTCGGGTCGATTTCTTGTTCCCCCCGGGCCTTCCAGGGCAGACGAGCCCAACCCGCCTGGAGGGCCGGCGTCACGGACTCGCTCAAAGACTCGATTCGCGTGATCCCCGTGCATTGCACACTCCCACACCGTCATGGGTTGTCGCGCTCGCTTGAGTCGTGGCGAGTATTTGGCTGATCCTGCTCGCCATCGAGCTCATGGGTGTTGTTACACGTTGTCGGTGGGAGATGTTGTGGGGATCTTGTATGACGCGATTGTTGGGTTCATTTTTTTCTCTCGCTGTTGTGTTTGTTTCTCTCTCGGTGTATATATTGTACAGTTGGGTTTGGATAATTTATTGCGCTGTTGTTATTGTTGGAGTACACTTGTTTGTTGTTCTGTATAATTGTATGTCGGTTGCTTACTTGCGGGGGAGTTGGCACCCAGGACGGCTGGAAGCTACGGGGGGGGGGGGGGGGGGGGTGATGTCGTGACTGTCACTGTGTGGTGCCAGGCTTACGAAGCCACGGCGGATATGTTATCATTATGTGCAGCCCGGTTACTGGGCATAGTACCAGCCCTAGCTGGGCTTGGGTGAGCGCTGGTCAGCGCGGAGTCACCACGTACAGTGTGCGGTGCGGGCTCCCGGTGAGGGAGCGAGAGGGAGTGTCAGCCAGCCAGGGTTACGTTGGGGTATGATACGCTGGTTGACCTGCCGACACGTGGTCCGGACCGGGATAGCGAACCGTGTCTAGTTCTGCCGTAGCGTGGTTAGATGGGCATTCAACACCCAAGTGAAGGTTACATTGTTGTTTGTTGAGTTGGTGTAATAAAGTGTTGCTCCCAAGACGTCTGCGACTCAGTTGGACTCACTACACTAAGATTGCAGTGCATGGCCAAATTTCAGGATGTGCCTATATTTTTATTGTGCTAAATTTAGACCTCCACTCGACGTCTGATCCTACTTGAGGGTGTTGGATTGAGAACTGGACTCCATGCAGAAATTGTGCATACCCTATCTTTGCTAACTTTTATCAGCGACACCGCAAGATAATTTTGTTCTATTTTGACAGCTTAAGACTCTAGTTGAAATATGAACCTTATGGCGGGACCCCGGGGTCCCAAATAAACGGTAGTAAAAAAAAGTAATTAATTATTTTTGGCGACTCCGTCCCACCGCGCACATAAACGCCGCGACCCACCTGGCGCAGATCATTCTGTTGTTGTCCAAGCCCAGCAGTGAGGACGAATGCGCAGAAGAGCTGAACAAGCGAATTCACTCCATGCTCGGGTATGGGCAGGATCATAAGTCTTATCCAAAGCTGCTCAAACTGCCTTCACGACTTAAGTCCTTTATTTGTCATAACTGTATGCATAATACGGTGAAACTGCTCTTATCTTCATTATTATTTGTGACCTACCAATGTCTGCAGCCAGGATAAATCGATGACAATCCTATTACCTGCAGATATTTAACTGATGAGATGCGTTGCACCGTTAATTCCTCCTGTTTGATATACTTCTCTTGTCCGTATTCATCTGTGCAGATAGGTTTTTTTGCGGTTAAGCCATAGTCCAATGCGGATAAAAGGAGCAGCGACCCACTACTCTGTAGAGTAACATTGGTATAAACGCTTGTTACAATATGAACAACGCATTGAAAATGCGTACTATTTTATGTACTGTTTACAAAGTGTGTTCACAATTCCACATTGAGAAACACGATGACTTGACAGAGGGGTGTAAATTATTTTTTCGGTAGTGTCTTTAAATAGAGGTACTGCAGGTAAGTAGTTTTCAGTTTTAAAGGCATGGTTTAACAAGACAACACTTGCCACCATCCTTCAAACCCATTGGTGAAAAAGAGAAAATGTTTTTTTCATGTTTATGCGAGAGCCGGGGGCTTATTGGGACCCCGGGGGGTCGCGCCGTAAGGTTCATATGTTGAACTTATTTCGCACGGTACGTATCCAATCGCGTTAATCGGAGGTGCAGGCGAAGGATAACTAAACAAAAAAGCGCTCCTGGCAGTATAGGCGAATTTGAGACTGCAAAGCTTTGGGTTCCCAGTGCCCCCCACTGTCAAGGCACTACCTTGTTTGCGTGCAACATTTTCCTGTGCTGGAGAGTGGAACAGTGAACGTCATCAGGAAGGAACTCAGGTTTCAACTTCCCTTGTTCGAGTCTTGCCCAGGCAGTTTAACGTGTCACTTACGTTACCACGCAATGGGCTTTCGCGACCAATATTATCCGCGAGGTTTTTGGGTTAGATCGCGGAAATATAAATGTGTCGTTAAACCCGCCACCACCCGACACAGCCAATTAGTAAAGTTGGTCACGTAAACAAAACATGAATTCTGGCTGTCACCTGAATGATGCTCGTTGTAATTACCGGCAAAACGTCATACTCGAATTGTAAATGTTGTGGGTTTACTCTCCAATACACCGGGTGTGCTGTACGAGAAACGAATTGGCATGGTTTGTTTACGCGACAAACTTTACTAATAGGATGTGTCGGGTGTGGCGGGTTTAACGACACATACTGACGCGATCTAACTCAATAAACCTCTATGAAAGTGTAACTTGAGAATAGGTTTTCCCCTTTTTTCTGGCAACAAAACAGGTGTTAAGATGTTGGTGTTTTAACATCTTAACACCTCATCATTAGACTTCTTTTGCCAGTACCAAAATGTTTTTCCCCTTTTTTCTGGCAACAAATATGAAGCCTTTTTATCTTAACACCTGTTTTGTTGCCAGAAAACAGGGGAAAACCTATTCTCATATTTTGGTGCTGGCAAAGAAAGTCCCATGATGAAAGTGCAACTTATTTAGTCCAAGTTCAACATCCCACCCAGTGCAAGGGCAGAGCGATAGGCCGTATGCTTTGCTCAAGCAGAGTGCTGGCGATCGATTGCGCGTCACCCATTTTCAGGGAGCAAAGTCCTTGATGTCAAGAAGACAGTCATAATATCGGCATCTGGGAGGAGTGACCCTTAACACATTCATGCGGAGGGAGCTGGTAGGAACGTTGGGTTGCTCGGTCAATGGCCAGGGTCAACGGCGGCGTCGTGTATTCCGCAAAAATGCCCGACTGTGAGGGCGGGCACAAGCATGCGTGAGTAGGTTAAACGTTGAGTTTTATCAGGGCACCACGGGGTGACCAGCCCACCCAGCCCCACCCTCCCCACCCAGCCCCACCCTCCCCTCCTTCCCCACCCAGCCCCACCTCTCCCATTTTTGGATGCACGACGGACGGACACAATAATCCCGTGGGCTGGTGTAACCAGGAGGTTCCTACCAGTATTAGTCCCGAATGTGGCGTTAACAGTGTTTGGTTTTGTGTCGCGCATTTAGCTTCGTTGGTTTGAGTTGAACTATTAAATGTTGTGGTTGCCAAGTGAGTTGGCCTCCCTTTCGTGGGCTTGAGGCGTCCCGAGTCCGGTGGTTCGGCTTATGGGGCCTGGCAAGTGGGTGGCTCAGACGGTGCCCCCAATCACAAAATACTTCGCAATACTTTCACGGCAGGCATGCTCTTGGAATGGAAATATAATTACAATACTGTAATGGGCAAGGCTGTGGAAAAGGAAAATATATTCTAATTTGGTCAGTGGGCGATAAAAAAGAGGTGCTTGGGATGCTGAATACTGGCTTCAGGAGTGTCAAGTGAATTCCTTATAGAATGTTAACGGCAGCTATTTTTAATTTCTCTTGTTCCTCTCGGCACTTCTACAGAATTTTGTGCGAATTGAACATGAATGGTTTTGAACTGTGACATTCGCATTTGTATTGTTCATGAGAGTTGACATCTGGAACGCACTACGCTTTTCAGAAACAGTTCACGGCACTGTTCGTATAAACACACGAGCATATGGTGTCATCAAACTTTTTATCGCCAGTGGTGAAGCAAGGCCCACAAAGACATGCAAACGTATATTCAAATTTGTATAACTGAACACATGCAAATGGAGGAATTCTCATCAACATGTTCATGCATGGCCTTTGGATAGAAGGGTTGGTTCATCAACCGTGATCAATCCACTCTGGACGGAGGTCCCAAGCCGTCACCACTGCTCAGTCATGTGATCTAACAATCCACCTAGGACATGCACACGAGTCAAATTCTAAACAGAGTGGCAGTTAAGGGAAGGAACACGCAGGAGAGGGCGTCCTCCAAGGAGATGGATAGAAGGGCTAAGGGACAAATGAATCCTTATATAAGGAGCAGAAACACCACGTGTGCCGGTTCCTGTCAAAACTAAACACGTCGTATATACGGCATTCGAAAATGAAAACGTAACAAAACCAACAGGTAGACAGCACTCAATTATTTTCTTTCTCGTCATCGTGATTCAGATGATGGGATGAGAGCTTGCAAATCGTCGCTGGAGGCTTTAGAATCGTGAGCGGTAACATTTCCATAGTAAGCGTGCCAATTTAACGGGGCTTTTATGTGGATAAGGAACGACAGCAGACATTCATCGGGCACAGAAACCTAATTAATGCCCATTGGCGTTTCACTTTAATGAAAAAAACCCAGCATAAATTAAAAGCAGCCACACTTTGTACTGGGCAGCACAGTGCGACCATAACGTTCGTTCTGCATGGAAATGTAACTTTTTTTTTAACAAACGCATTACACCGTGGTACTTAGCAGTCAGTGGTAATTGTATTAACATTAGCAATTATTGTGGCTTGGCGGTAGAGTGTGCGGCTCGCATGGGTTCAAGTACTGTGGGTCGACTTGACCAATCATCCCTCCAGGGTCCATGTTTGACGTAGCCAACAGTGGTTGCATTATGGAGAGCCTCACCCCCTGCAAGACATAGGGACGTGGAACTTCCATCTCCCACTGGGGGTTATAAATACGAGATTAGCATCGATACAATGCCTCGATGCTCATTTAACCAGGATATATCAACGACTTGCACAGATTCACCACCCCTAGCAATTTAATCAACTGTTACAATTGGATTATTTCATGCAATTGTTACCGTCACATTTGTATCGCATCTCACTGTTTTGTTTGTAGTTGTGTTTGCTCCATGAGCTTAAATCTAACATAAGAATTTTGTTCACGTAGTTTATAGCCCCGTCAATCTACTATTAGATGAAAGCCTCCCCACGTACTGTCAGTTGACCATAATTGACCACTTTGGGCAGTGCTGGTTGGTGACGCGGTCGGCCAGAACCGGTTATGGCATCACTTTCCACTAATGTTAACCATGGCTGGGAATCGAACAGAGGCCACAAAGTTCATAGCGCAGTGCACTTACCCTGGTGCCATCACTCCATCCCACAGGCAAAACGCTTATCAGCATTGTCAAACACATCAACAATAAAAGGAGTCTTGAGACTCGGTGAGGCTCTCTTGAATAAATTTGTGTCATTTATAATTATATGAATGGCAGGGCCATTGGATTGTGACTCCATCCCAGTTGGGAAGAGATCCGTGCGAATACACACGTGCTGGTGTTCATGCACCTCTCATATACTTGTCCAAGCCCTTCCCCGTCAGTACTTTCCATGAACCATGCAAACCAGATCCAAGCGAGCTCCCGTTAAGAGGTGGGGATACTACCTGCAGATTTTTTTCCACACGGCCTGCAGCCACATGGGGCCCCCTACCACTTCCAAGCATCCGGCAAAGAAAAATTATCCATCTATGCAAGAATCCTAAATGCACGAGAATAGGGTACGAGCGGGGAATGTTAACCTAATGAAAAAAGTGTTTCTAGGACGAATTTCAAGTGGATAAGAGCCTAAAAAGTCAATGAATATGTAAAGTCCTCATGTTTGGCCCTCGGTAATTAAGTCCTATTTGGCCCTTGGCAATGAAAAGATTCCCCACTCAAACATGATGTTTAATGATTAGGTATACAGAACATGGAAGGGATGAGATTTACTTGCAACGTTCAGAAATATCACACCAATTATGAATTCCTTTTCACTGCATTAGGCATGCAAGGTGCAACCAAAAGTAATCAATTACATATGAAATTACAACCGCAAAGGAAATCCACAGAAGCCGAGAAACATAAAAACTTTCTAACGACGGCGAACATTTAAATATAAACATCTGGTTTAAAACCTCACGGGGAGTTAAACTCTTGTCTTGCCAACAACAAAAACAACAATATAAAGTTTGTCCAAGGAAGTCGGTCGGTTGCTTCTGCAAATTTCTGCATCGTGCGCAAGCGCCGCCGCGTCACTTGAGTCGCCGCTGCAGGTTGGGGATTTCGGCCGCCCTCACGGTCTCCGGGCCCTCGGGCTGGCCGAACAGCGCCCGCCCGCGGTGGTTGAACGTGTAGAAGGACGGACGATTGCTCATGTTCTCAAACGTTCTGCGGGAAAGAACGGCGTGAGCAGACAAAGTGGATTGGTCGCAGCTACTACACGAAACGACATAGCCCTTCATTTCTCCAGGGTCGATACAAGTGACACCGTTCTGGGGAATGTCAAAAGTAGCAGACAAATCGCTGACACCCACAGAGGAACCTCCGGGTTTCACTTGTCCTACAAAGGTCTGCATTGAACTTCATCAGTGGCTAGTTGCACAAATTAAAATCTCCCTTGACACTGATTGAGATAGGAGCTCAGGCCATTGTTGTCCTTAAGTTGCTCTATGCAAAGGACCCCACGATTTCAATGGTGGAAGCTCAGCGCTCTGACCTCTGAGCCAACTGATCACCTCGCAAAACATTTCACTACCACCTCCCCTACCAAAGTGGGTTGGGGGAAGTGGGGGTTAGGGAGTAGGGCATGGAGTAGGGAAGGCTCATTGCTCAAGGAGCACATGGCCAGATGGCTTGGTGCTACTACTGTTCATGGGTCATTCCTGCACCAGCAATATCCAAATACCAGCGGTTATGGAGACAAGGACCGTTTGTGTGTGTGTGCTTGTGAGCAGTAGTAGGGCATATGTGCTTGCGATCAGCACTTTCCCCAGCAGCTCGCATAGGCTATATGGGGGATCTTTGTCTTTGGCGAAGGATTAGTGCCAGGGACGGCTCAACCTCACCGACCTCCACATTATTCACATTGTCGAGGACCGCGCCTCACGGCGACTAAAATGTGGAACGAGAAGGCCGATTAAACTCGATGCAATGCCAATCAAGTGACCTGAGCGATTCAGATGCAGACCTGTGACATCAAATGCAAGAGAGAGAGAGCTCCGGGAGGGGGGGAAACTCACTTGTACTTGAGCTCGGCGGTGGCGTCCATGTCACGGAACTCTCCGGCGATGTTCACCACGCCGTACACCGCCACCAGCAGCCCCAGTAGCGTCTGCAGCACAATCTGCACGGCATGGCACGGCGCTCGCTCAAGCCACGTTTAGCAGATCCACGTCAGTATCCTTTATTTGGGCGGTGAAATCACATAGCTAAATGGCACGCTCGCCACTTGTGGCGGAGGTATACAGTTCGAATGCGGCAGGTCCCCTGGTTAACACCACGGGTGCAATGACCATGGAATATGCGTCATCAGCTTTAAGGTGGGATTAAATATGCCATGGTTATCATTTGAAGAAGAGACTGCATTGTGTCCTGGCGTCATGGTCCAAGTTTGAAAACAATTAATTGCAAATTAATTAATTGAGGTAACACATACCAATATTCACTTACTCCAGGAAAAAAAACCTAGGAGGATTTTCTACTTGAAACTGACTGTTCTGGGTAGTGTGTAATGTGGAACAACATTTAACCAGGAGATTAAATAAACCTGCTGAGACACATGAAACATTGCCTCTTTGCAAACGGCTGGGTTACATTTAGATAATTTAACTGCACGATATTAAACAATTATAAAATTGTAAGTAACCTAGACAGTGTACACATAATTTAATGTTAATTTTTGAACAAGGCTAAATAAAGAAGGTGCAATGCACTTTAAAAGTGGATAAGCACGAAATTTAATGCAATTTATGCAAAGGCGATTTGAATAGGTATATAGACGCAATGGAGAAAACTGCACTAAGGGTTATAAAATGGAAACAAATTAGCTTCACGCAGCCAGAAAACATTAAAACAAGGTTGACTTATCCATACCAATGTTCTAGAATAGCCCAAAATTGCAAAGTGGACTCTCTTAAATATTGAGGTCACACATACTGGACTCAGTATTCATCACTGCTATTCGAAGTACGGCAACAAGAAGGTATATCTCTCTCTCTCAACACTCTAGTGATCACGATATCACCGTGGAGAGCTTTCTATGTTTACATTACCGGTCTTCTGCATTCAAAAAAACTCATCACGTCGTTACACAATGCACGCAATTCGTCAAAGGCTTGACAAAAATAAAAAAAACTAAGCAAACACAATTTGGGAACTTACGGAAAACCGAAATCACGATAACTGTTATTGTAGCTAAATTTTAATATGGGGTCATATCGTGAAAAACATAAAGACTGTGGCAACCCGAGTGGACATGTGCGCTCACGTATTGCCAGTTGAGGTGGTTCGGGCACCTTGTAAGGGATACCCCCTGGTAGACTCCCCCTGGAACTCTACCGGGCAAGGAGCACGTCCCACTGGGCAAAGACCCCGGGGGCCAGGACACGCTGGCGGGACGACTATGCCTCTTGGCTCGCCTGGGAATTCCCCAGGAAGAGCTGGAGTCTGTGTATAGTAGTTTGTTATGTAAAGCAGTGTATGCAGTGTAGTGTATAGTAGTCTATAGAAGTGTATAGTAGTGCATAGTCTAGTCTGTAGTGGATAGTACTGTATAGTGTAGTATTGCTGGAGTACATTGCCAGGGAAACGGAGGTGTGGACCGCGGCTACTCAACACGCTGCCGCCGCAACCCTCACCAGCACAAGCGGATTGAGAAACGAGCGAACGAACTTATTGTTTGAAACCACGGCTGCTGCGCCATACTGGCCGAAAGGCACAAGACGCCAAGCAGCAGCCAGCAACAAACAGCACTTACGTCGGAAGGTAGGCTTTCGTTCTCCTGCTCCGTTAACCTTGTGTACGAGCGATCTGAAAAGAACATCACAGCGGGTCACTTCAAACTGCCGATTGAATTAACACTCAACGTCTGTCTAAAAGACGTGCATGTGTGTCAGTGCCGGACTAAGCTAGTGCGGGGCCTGTAGCATATGTTATAAAGGGGCCCTAAATATAAAAAAACACAAATATTAAAACACGAATTTTAAACTTGCATGGTTAAGCAATTATATATTTTTTATTTGCTATACAGCTCGAGAATACAACAAATCGCTAACCTTAAACACCCGGTCGTTCATAAAAGTTAAAGGCGGTATAGTACTATAGTAATAGAGCAAGTACAGAATCACTGAACCGGAATTGACAGCTTGAAAGCATTTAGCACGGAAACCTTGAAAGTGCGGGGCCCGTAGCATAACATGAACCTTATGGCGGGACCCTGGGGTCCCGAATAAACGGAAGTCAAGATCATGATGAATTTATTTTTGGCGATCCGTCCGACGGATCATTCTGTTGTCGTGTCGTCCAAGCCCAGCAGCGACGACGAATGCGCAGAAGAGCTGAACAAGCGAATGCACTCCATGCTCGGGTACGGTGGGCAGGATCATAAATCTTACCCAAAGCTGCTCAAACTGCCTACACGACACAAGTCCTTTATTTGTCATAACGGTATGCATAATACAGTGACATTGCTCTCCTATCTTGATTATTGTGTGACCTACAGCAGCAAGGATCAATCGATGACAATCCTATTACCTGCAGATATTTAACAGATGAGATGCATTACACCTCCTGCTTGATAATACTCTTGTCCGTATGCATCTGTGCAGATAGGTTTTTTTTGCGGTTAAGCCATAGTCCCCATATACCGCTCGTATCAATACGGATAAGAGGAGCGGCGACTCACTATGTAGAGTAACATTGGTATAAACGCTTGTTACAATATGAACAGCGCATTGTAAACGAGTACTATTTTATGGACTATTTACAAAGTGTGTTCACAAATCCACACTGAGAAACACGATGATTGACACAGGGGTGCAAATTATTTTTTCGATAGTGTATTCAAATAGAGGTACTGCAGGTAAGTAGTTTTCAAAGTTAAAGTTTAACAAGACAACACTTACTCTTTGGGTCTTTCGGTCAAGTCACGTGACTTTACCCAACGTGTACTAGACCTACGTTACTTTACCCAACGTGTACTAGATCTAGGTGACTTTACCCAACGCGTACTAGACCTACGTGACTTTACCCAACGTGTACTAGATCTAGGTGACTTTACCCAACGTGTACTAGATCTAGGTGACTTTACCCAACACGTACTAGATCTAGGTGACTTTACCCAACACGTACTAGATCTAGGTGACTTTACCCAACGTGTACTAGATCTAGGTGACTTTACCCAACGCGTACTAGACCTACGTGACTTTACCCAACGTGTACTAGATCTAGGTGACTTTACCCAACGTGTACTAGATCTAGGTGACTTTACCCAACACGTACTAGATCTAGGTGACTTACCCAACGCGTACTAGATCTACGTGACTTTACCCAACACGTACTAGATCTAGGTGACTTTACCCAACACGTACTAGATCTAGGTGACTTTAACCAACGTGTACTAGATCTACGTGACTTTACCCAACGCGTACTAGATCTACGTGACTTTACCCAACGTGTACTAGATCTAGGTGACTTTACCCAACATGTACTAGATCTAGGTGACTTTACCCAACGTGTACTAGATCTAGGTGACTTTACCCAACGCGTACTAGATCTAGGTGACTTTACCCAACACGTACTAGATCTAGGCGACTTTACCCAACACGTACTAGACCTAGGCGACTTTACCCAACGTGTACTAGATCTAGGTGACTTTACCCAACACGTACTAGACCTAGGTGACTTTACCCAACACGTACTAGACCTAGGTGACTTTACCCAACACGTACTAGATCTACGTGACTTTATCCAACGTGTACTAGATCTAGGTGACTTTACCCAACGTGTACTAGATCTAGGTGACTTTACCCAACACGTACTAGATCTAGGTGACTTTACCCAACGCATACTAGACCTACGTGACTTTACCCAACACGTACTAGATCTAGGTGACTTTACCCAACGTGTACTAGTTCTACGTGACTTTACCCAACGTGTACTAGACCTACGTGACTTTACCCAACGCGTACTAGATCTAGGTGACTTTACCCAACGTGTACTAGACCTACGTGACTTTAGCCAACACGTACTAGATCTAGGTGACTTTACCCAACACGTACCAGATCTAGGTGACTTTACCCAACGTGTACTGGATCTAGGTGACTTTACCCAACGTGTACTAGACCTACGTGACTTTACCCAACACGTACTAGATCTAGGTGACTTTACCCAACGCGTACTAGACCTACGTGACTTTACCCAACACGTACTAGATCTAGGTGGCTTTACCCAACACGTACTAGATCAAGGTGACTTTACCCAACGTGTACTAGATCTACGTGACTTTACCCAACACGTACTAGATCTACGTGACTTTACCCAACACGTACTAGATCTAGGTGACTTTACCCAACGTGTACTAGACCTACGTGACTTTACCCAACACGTACTAGACCTACGTGACTTTACCCAACACGTACTAGATCTAGGTGACTTTACCCAACACGTACTAGATCTAGGTGACTTTACCCAACGTGTACGAGACCTACGTGACTTTACCCAATGTGTACTAGACCTAGGTGACTTTACCCAACGTGTACTAGATCTAGGTGACTTTACCCAACACGTACTAGATCTAGGTGACTTTACCCAACGTGTACGAGACCTACGTGACTTTACCCAATGTGTACTAGACCTAGGTGACTTTACCCAACGTGTACTAGATCTAGGTGATTTTACCCAACACGTACTAGATCTACGTGACTTTACCCAACGTGTAATAGATCTACGTGACTTTACCCAACGTGTACTAGATCTAGGTGACTTTACCCAACGCGTACTAGACCTACGTGACTTTACCCAACGTGTACTAGATCTACGTGACTTTAGCCAACGTGTAATAGATCTACGTGACTTTACCCAACACGTACTAGATCTAGGTGACTTAACCCAACGTGTACTAGATCTAGGTGACTTTACCCAACACGTACTAGACCTATGTGACTTTACCCAACACGTACTAGATCTAGGTGACTTTACCCAACACGTACTAGATCTAGGTGACTTTACCCAACACGTACTAGATCTAGGTGACTTTACCCAACGTGTACTAGATCTAGGTGACTTTACCCAACGTGTACTAGATCTAGGTGACTTTACCCAACGTGTACTAGATCTACGTGGCAGATCACTGTTATGACATTGACTTTTCCAAGACAGAGGTTCTTTGTAAGCTATCTGGCTACCATGAGAGATTCGTTCATGAGGCTATCCACATATACAAGCACAGATACAATTTCAACCGAGAAGATGGATTCTGGCTTAGCAATCATTGGAAAGATTTGATAAACCATTTCAGGTCTTAATTGATTGTTCACGCTTACAGTGGCTTTCAGACAGCATACATTAATTTTTCGTCTCCCCCCTCCTCTTTTCAGAACATAGATGGACTAGTCCTTCTGAATAAACTGCCAAATCGCTGCGCGTGGCGCTGAAGTTTTTTTATAAATACACTGTTTAAAAATAAATAAATGCAAACCGACACACCTGATGACGACCGTTTGTGTTATGGTCGAAACGTCGTGAGAATTTTTATTGTTTTATGTATATTTTATTATTTTATTGTTTCCCTTCAACGTGACTTTACCGAAAGAGCTAAGAATATAGATCTACGTGACTTTATCGAAAGACCCCAAGAGTATGAATTCCTGCAGTCACGAAAGCTTTAAGTCAAGACAACACTTGCCACCATCCTTCAAACCCATTGCTGAGAAATAGCAAAGTTAACATTATGTTTATGCGAGTGCCAGGGGCTTATGGGACCCCGGGGTCCCGCCATAAGGTTCCTATGCAGCTGCTTTTTCTACGAGGATAATCCGGCACGGACTGTGTTTGTGGGGCGCGGTAGCGTAGTGGTTAGCGCTGCGATGGGTTACGAACCTGGCGAACCGGGTTCGATTCCCGTTCACGGCCAACACCGGTGACAATAATCTGAACCGGTCCTGGGCCTCCCCTAGGTCGACCCAGCCTCAAATGAGTACCTGGTGCGATGTGTAAACATCGCCACTGGGGGAGACAAAGGCGGCCGTTCCGGCCTTCATAGGTGCTCGCTAACAGCACTTGCCCCTACAGTCTGTTAAGGCTACTCGGGGGATCTTTGTCTTTGTGTGCTGGTGTCCTTTTGTCAACGCACTGCTGCCAGAGTGAAGCTTCAATTTGCACCGGGCGCGTGCTCTTTATCGTCCACCGTTCGTGCGGCGGATGAAGGCGCCACAATCGCAGTGGACTGCTCACTGTGCTCGCTCCCCCCCCGGCCCATGTGCTCGAGGTGGGGGGGGGATTGCGGTGTTTTGTCGACAAGAGGGGGCAGAGCGGCGAGGCCTGCGCAGCCTGTCACGAAACAACACCACCACCACCCACTACTACCACCACCACCCACCCCCTACTACCACCACCACCACCCACTCCCTACTACTACCACCACCCACTCCCTACTACCACCACCACCCACCACCACCACCCACTCCCTATTACCACCACCACCCACTACTACCACCACCACCTACTCCCTACTACCACCACCACCTACTCCCTACTACCACCACCACCCACTACTACCACCACCCACTCTCTACCACCACCCACTCCCTACTACCACTACCACCACCACCCCCTACTACCACCACCCCCTACCACCACCACCATCCACCCCCTACTACCACCACCACCACCACCCACTCCCTACCACTACCACCACCCACTCCCTACTACCACCACCACCCACCACCACCACCCACTCCCTATTACCACCACCACCCACTACTACCACCACCACCACCCACTCCCTACTACCACCACCACCCACTACTACCACCACCCACTCCCTACCACCACCACCACCCACCCCCTACTACCACCACCACCACCCACCCCCTACTACCACCACCACCACCCACTCTCTACCACCACCACCACCCACTCCATACTACCACCACCACCACCCACTCCCTACTACCACCACCACCACCACCCACTACTATCACCACCGCCACCCACTCCATACTACCACCACCACCACCCCCTACTACCACCACCACCCCCTACTACCACCACCACCACCCTCTCTACTACCACCACCACCACCCACTCCATACTACCACCACCACCCCCTATCACCACCACCGCCCACTACCACCACCACCCACTCTCTACTACCACCACCACCCACTCCCTACTACCACCACCACCCCCTACTACCACCACCACCACCCCCTACTACCACCACCACCACCCTCTCTACTACCACCACCACCACCCACTCCCTACCACCACCACCACCCACCCCCTACTACCACCACCACCACCCACCCCCTACTACCACCACCACCACCCACTCTCTACCACCACCACCACCCACTCCATACTACCACCACCACCACCCACTCCCTACTACCACCACCACCACCACCCACTACTATCACCACCGCCACCCACTCCATACTACCACCACCACCACCCCCTACTACCACCACCACCCCCTACTACCACCACCACCACCCTCTCTACTACCACCACCACCACCCACTCCATACTACCACCACCACCCCCTATCACCACCACCGCCCACTACCACCACCACCCACTCTCTACTACCACCACCACCCACTCCCTACTACCACCACCACCACCCACTACTATCACCACCACCACCCACTACCACCACCACCCACTCTCTACTACCACCACCACCCTACCTCCCCGCCCTCCCTGAACCAAACCGAACCTCGGCGGCGAGAATGGCGACACCGCTTGACATACGACGATGTTAGGAGACGATTGGTGAGGGTGACGAGACTCACGCTGCGCGGCAGAGAAGGCGGCGTGAGCCAGGGCGAGGAGGCCGAAGGCGACCATCGCCTTCCACGCCGACTTGCTGCTGCTGCTGCCCGCCATGACCGCGCCGCGGATCGATTCCGAGATCGAATCGTTTCCTTTTAAACAGCGTAATCGATTCCGGCGACCGCGTGAGATTCATGGTAGCTGCAACAATCTAAAATATAAATCCTTTGGTTCTTTTCGGTAAAGTCACGTACCATGCTTTCCCACCTGATGACGGACGCTTGTGTTGCGCCCGAAACGTCGTGATTTATTTTATACCTACGTGACTTTATCGGAAGAACCAAAGAAAGCTTCAAATGAAGATTAATCCATAATAGAGATTTTTTTTGGGGTTAGATCGCGTAAATATATAAATGTGTCGTTAAAACCCGCCCCCACCCAACACAGTCAACTAGTAAGGGTTGTCACGTAAACAGAACGTGGCCAATTCGTTACTAGTGCAGCACACCGGTGTGTTGGAGAGCCAAGCCACAACATTTACAATCTGAGTACGACGTTTCGCCAGTAATTACAACTAGCTTCATCAGGTGACAGCCAGATTTGTGGTGAAGTTTCGATTTAAAGCTTTCGTGACTGCAATGATTCATCTTCTTTGGTTCTTTCGGTAAAGTCACGTAGAATGAGAATAAAAGAATAAATTGATAAAATAAAATAACACAATAATATTCTCACGACGTTTCGGCCACAACACAAGCGGCCTTCATCAGGTGAAGGGAGCGAGACTGTCTGGTAGGACAGCGCTGGAGTGAGAGAGCCACGTTCAGATCACGGCTTTTAAGCTGTGTGAGAGGAACAAAGAGCCTTGACGAAGGAACTAGCATAAAATTTAGCATTGAAATGGCTGAATGATTAGCTTGTGACTGGACACAGAAATAGCTATGTTAAAAGTTAAAGCATACACATCCGCAGAGGCACCCATTGTTAAAAGGAATTAGCATAGAATTTAGCATTGAAATAGCTAAATTAAGGCATACACATCCGCAGAGGCACCCCTTGATAATGGGATTAGCATAGAATTTAGCATTGAAATGGCTGAGTGATTCGCTTGTAACTGCTACAGAAATAGTTACGTTGAAGTCAGAGCATACACATTCACCGAGGCACTTAGTACAAATCAAACAGGAGAATTTAGCATTGAAATAACTAGGCGAATTTAGCATTGAAATAACTGGGTGATTTGCTAGTGACTGGTCACAGAAATGACTACACATCTGAGCTATTCACAGTACTATATAGTGAACCAATAAAAACTAAAATATAAATTACCTTCATGTTATCAATAAACTCTATATTCTCCAATCAGCTAAGCTACCAACCATAAGTCGTTATATATCACAATGCTATATGGCGAAAAAATGGGTGGATTCTTACCCTCAAATTTCCGTACCACGGATAGCTACGGGCCCCGTTCAGACGGACGAGTTCGTCCATGGTCGGAACAGAGGAGGGGGAGAGAGACAGCTGCGAAGCCCTAGTATACTCCATGTTGTAAACCATACCATTAACCGTGGTGTGAGAGGTATTAAGAGGCAATGCTGGAGAAAGAGCTGCGGTCTGAAGGTCATCGTAAAATTGCAATTAATTAAGAACAGAAATGATTTAACACATCTTTCCAGTGGTTACTAAGCCTGAATCCATCTTCTCGGTTGAAATTGTCTCTGTGCTTGTATATGTGAATGGCCTCATGTTTCCTTCCTTATGTAGAGGCATAGATGTGGTGACCACGCAGCTGCGCTCTTGCACAATGAATGATGGGGGGGGGGGGGGGGGGGGGGGATTGCTGAGGCAACGTACATGATGCATGTGCATTATGCGAGCCCTTTGATCTTGTCCTTCCTGTCTATTGTGTTTATTTAAATAGCCCTACCAACGGTAATCCCTATTGAAGAACGCTGCCCTTTGTAGGCATGCATTTAAACAATGTATAATTTGATGATTCGCTTCCACGCGGCACTAAGGCGGCAGCTATCCGAACGGTTAAAATTATTTTTTATTTCTATCAATTTTGATAGATTCTCTAATTAGTTTAGGCCAGTAGGGGCTAATTTTGCACAAAACTTCAACAATCAAAATCAATTGAGTGTCCTTGTTGGCACGCGTGTTCTGCAACTGCTGACAGTTGTATTTGGGATAATTTAATATTTATCTGATGTTCTTTTAGTCTCGTGCTGATCATTCTTCCTGTTTGCCCAACATAACATTTACCACACGTGCAGTTGGGGGCCATCCATTGAGTACGTACGCAAAAATCTGTGAAAACTTGACCCCCCCCCCCCCCTCCATGTATGCACGCGTACTTTTTACCAGGGGCGGAGCCAGGGGGGTGACAGGGGTGACGTTCTGCGTGTAATTGATGTCTCCAAGACGAAGGTACTTTGCAAACCCACTGGCTATCAACAAAGATTCGTTCATGAAGCCATCCAGATATAGAGACACAGACACAATTTCAACCGAGAAGATGGGTACAAACTGAGCAATCATTGGAAGGACGTTATTAACCAGTTTATTATGAACCAGTTTAAGTCATAACTGGCTGTGATGTTTCCATCCGACCTTCCGATGTTAGTTGTTATTTTCGACTCTCTGATTTTACATTAACAGGTTAAATGTCTCACACTAAACACAGCCACCGTCGCTCGTGTCCTTGACGTGGCAGTGGCTCTGCGATCTTACATTAACATGCTAATCTCTCACATTACAATAGCCACCTCCGCGCCCTGGGCGTGGAAGTCACCCTCCGATATCACATTAATATGCAAATTTATCACTTTAACATCACTAGCCCCGCCCACTTCGTTTATGACCCTTGGGCTACACCCATTTCAAACCTTTAAAACAGCCTGCCTCAGCAGCTTTCCCCTACTTTTTTCCTCCTGATGACGATTGCAATCGAAATGTCGTAGTTTTTTGTTAAAAAGAATTGTTCTACGTGACTTTACCGGAAGACCCAAAGAATATATATTTTTTCTTATTTTTAAAAACAATATATACAACACCCATCACGCGCATTCACCCCTCACCAAGCGCAACTTGTTCTTAATGGACTCACCCATCACGCCGCCCTCACCCCTCACATTTCGTTCATAATGGACTCGCCCAACACGCCGCCCTCACCCCTCCCGTCTGGTCCATAATGGACTCGCCCAATACGCCGCCCTCACCCCTCACGACTGATTCATAATGGACTCGCTCTTCACGCCGCCCTCACCCTTCCCCCCGCGCGACTCGTTCATAATGGACTCGCCCAATACGCCGCCCTCACCCCTCACGTCTCGTTCATAATGGACTCGCCCATCACTCCACCCTCACCCCTCACTACTCATTCATAATGGACTTGCCCTTCACGCCGCCCTCACCCCTCACGACTCATTCATAATGGACTCGCCCATCACGCCCCTCAGCCTTCCCCACGCGCGAATCGTTCATAAACGACTCGCCCATCACGCCGCTCTCACACCTGACCCCACGCGACTCCTTCATAATGGACTCACCCATCACGCCGCCCTCACCCCTCGCAACTCGTTCATAATGGACTCGCCCATCACGCCGCCCTCACCCCTCGCGATTCGTTAATAATGAACTCGCCCATCACTCCGCCCTCTGCCCGCGCGATTCGTTCATAATGGACTCGCCCATGTTGTACATATGCCTTTTACAAAAACTTAAATTAAGAGTGAAATTACCTATTTTTAACGTAATCGTTTTTCTTAAATATATGGATTAATCGAGTTACAAAAAATGCAGTCACGTATACCTGCGAACTCCTCCCTCGAGAAAACAAAGGGACAAAAGGAACACCCCCCTGCCTCGCCCACACAGGGGAGATCTGGAGGTGAATAATTCACAAATGTGGCTGCAGAAAGTTGTAAACTAGAATTCAGTTTCATTTATTTGGTATAGCCCTGGGAGCCATTCGGCTCTTAAATCGGGTGCAACCACAACAAACAAAAAAACAAAAACATGAACAAGAAAACATCTTAAAGTGATTATGTGACTGTGCAAACAGAAAATCCAGGAAAAAAACAGCAAAATATTCCAGAAAAAGCACCGTACACCAACGCTGTGTGCAAAAATTCCATTTGGATGCAAGTCAAACAACAACAACAACCACAAGACAACTTAGATTAATGCCATCAGTCTAATTCCGTACTACAACAAACAAACATGGCCAAACCAACAAACTTTTCGAAATCACCAAAATAAAGCCATGAAAGCAATGTAACAGTGATCATAGGAACTGTGACCGAATTTTCACAATAAACGACATAAACAATATATACCACCAAACCCTGCAGCCATAGCTGGCTGCATGAGTCACTCCACAACAGCAGGAGCATCAGTCCACACTTAGGGGCAATTGAGAGCATCTGTGTCCACAGGCCATGAGATGACCAGAGGAACGGGAGAGGGGTCGGGCCTTGAAATTAGAACAGACAGACACACACACACACGTACGCTGGACAAACGGTCACAATCAAAGGGACAGTTGTTCTGTCGTGAGAGGAAACCGATCAATCACAGGCCGAGCAGCAAAATCAAAAGAATTCTGGTCCTTTGTGAGAAGACGAGCCGGAGGCTAAACATTTTCGGATATAACGAAGAAGCTGAACCACCCAAATGAGTCTTGCAACGGCAAGCTCCGTGGTATAGTCCTCGAAATAAACCATGGGTGTCGAGTCTTGCAGAGGAGAGGGGGCGATGTGTCGCCAAGTGTTGAGTTCGGCGCTGACAGACGGAGTATCGCTGAAAGTTTTATTCTACATTCATCCTTATGTTTTGAGTCGCTTGCGGAGTCAAGGACTGCGAGAAGTTGTATTGTACTAAGCTACAAGAGTTGGCATATGCTAAGAGGGTGTGCGAATACATTTTATGAGTTTTGTGGAGAGAGCGGACGAGCAGCTCACAGCAGGAGCCCTCCTGGAGGAAGGGCTGGGAGCGACAAGGGTGCGAAGCAAGCTGCTGAGACAAGGAGGAGCGACGCGGGCACAGGCATTCTGACTGCTAATCGACCTTGGGCGCACAGACAATCTGCGGACGTGCCGACCTCGGAAGCCCAGAGCACACTCCAGCAAAAGGTCGAGTTCAAGGATCAACAATGTCTGGTGCCAAGG